CACCTGTTTGAGGTTGTTAGCTGCATAAAGACACCTGTCCACCCCATACAATCAGTAAGAATCCAACTACTAACATGGCCAAGACCAAAGAGCTGTCAAAAGACACTAGAGACAAAATTGTACACCTCCACAAGGCTGGAAAGGGCGACGGGGAAATTGCCAAGCAGCTTGGTGAAAAAAGGTCCACTGTTGGAGCAATCATTAGAAAATGGAAGAAGCTAAACATGACTGTCAATCTCCCTCGGACTGGGGCTCCATGCAAGATCTCACCTCGTGGGGTCTCAATGATCCTAAGAAAGGTGAGAATTCAGCCCAGAACTACACGGGAGGAGCTGGTCAATGACCTGAAAAGAGCTGGGTACACCGTTTCCAAGGTTACTGTTGGTAATACACTAAGACGTCTTGGTTTGAAATCACGCATGGCACGGAAGGTTCCCCTGCTTAAACCAGCACATGTCAAGGCCCGTCTTCAGTTTGCCAATGACCATTTGGATGATCCAAAGGAGTCATGGGAGAAAGTCATGTGGTCAGATGAGACCAAAATAGAACTTTTTGGTCATAATTCCAGTAACCGTGTTTGGAGGAAGAAGAATGATGAGTACCATCCCAAGAACACCATCCCTACTGTGAAGCATGGGGGTGGTAGCATCATGCTTTGGGGGTGTTTTTCTGCACATGGGACAGGGCGACTGCACTGTATTAAGGAGAGGATGACCGGGGCCATGTATTGCGAGATTTTGGGGAACAACCTCCTTCCCTCAGTTAGAGCATTGAAGATGGGTCGAGGCCGGGTCTTCCAACATGACAATGACCAGAAGCACACAGCCAGGATAACCAAGGAGTGGCTCTGTAAGAAGCATATCAAGGTTCTGGCGTGGCCTAGCCAGTCTCCAGACCTAAACCCAATAGAGAATCTTTGGAGGGAGCTCAAACTCCGTGTTTCTCAGCGACAGCCCAGAAACCTGACTGATCTAGAGAAGATCTGTGTGGAGGAGTGGGCCAAAATCCCTCCTGCAGTGTGTGCAAACCTGGTGAAAAACTACAGGAAACGTTTGACCTCTGTAATTGCAAACAAAGGCTACTGTACCAAATATTAACATTGATTTTCTCAGGTGTTCAAATACTTATTTGCAGCTGTATCATACAAATAAATAGTTATAAAATCATACATTGTGATTTCTGGATTTTTTTTTCTTGATTATGTCTCTCACAGTGGACATGCACCTACGATGACAATTTCAGACCCCTCCATGATTTCTAAGTGGGAGAACTTGCAAAATAGCAGGGTGTTCAAATACTTATTTTCCTCACTGTATTCTAATGTGAACATGTGGTAATTATTAATTATAAAAAAACATGATTTAAAAATGTTTGTTTTAGGTTTCGATAATACACCTATAGCTAAGACTCAATCAAGTATCTGTAAAATGGCATTAATTGTGAAAATACGGGAAATTCCTGAATGTATTGTAACAGTTTGTTTACGTGAAAACCCCCAAAAGTTTCCTTAAGATAACACAAATGTTATGGTTATTCACAGCTACAGGTTTTTCATGTTATTTTACTCATGCATATTTGTTGAAAAAAGATTTTATCATTAAAATTGTATTAAACGTTTTACCTCAGATTTGTGTTAAGTGATCCCCTTTAAACTTGAAAGAAATGATGGTTTGACATTTATCATAATTATCTATCGAATTATTTGAAAGTTTTCATCGTGATTTTTTATTTATTAATGTTTTTATATGAAATATTTTAGCTTGCTAATGAGTGTTGTCATGATAATTACTTTCATTTGGTGATAAGTGTTGGAGAGCCAAAGGTTATTAAAGTTAGATGAAATGAAATGAAGGAGGAACATCAGCCGGAGTTAGCTCTTTTAGCATTTAGCTTTACAGCTAGCTAAGAGGCTAGCTCTAGATCCTTTTCCTGTGTCCAGCGGACTTTCTGTTCTGTTCACTCTCTCGGTCTCCCATTTTATGCAGTTCTGCAACAAGTTGACGTTAATAACACTGTCACAAGCTTGCAGTAACAAAATAATTATTCTGTTGGCTGAACAATTAATTTCAGTGAATTCAGATCAGTTCAGTTCATTCATGCAGTTTACATGTTTAATACGAATAAATACAGATCATTTAGCAAGTTGTTTGCATTGTGCAATCACAGCAGCACAGCAATGTTCTTTTTGTTGTTGCAGTTCTGCATGGAAAGTGAGAAATCCAGCAATCTTTGCTGCAAAATAATTAACCATGTTTTTGTTTTCTTTTGTCCAACAGCTCTTGTCCTTACCCACCACCCTTCACTGTTACCTCTACCTACTGTACATCTTTATATAAAACCAATGGCTCTTTTGAGAGCCACTCCCTTACTCCTTTTACTACCTCTTACTCTCTCCGTCACTCACTCACTCACTCTTCCAGAGGCCCTGGTGTGTTCAAGTAAGTATTGCTTTTTAAATTTTTTAATCTTGTCCTGGTTTGTTTGAGTGAAATAAGTACATAATATCAAAATATATTTGTCTATGTTGTATGATGTTGTTCATCTCCCGCTTGCTCTACCTCTAATAGAAATGCCAGGCCAGGGGTCAACTAGTCGAAAATGCGCGGTCTGCCACACTGAACTAAATGTAGCCTGCAAAAACTGCAACACCTGCAATGCAGAGCAGCCACATAAGCTTAGGTTAAAACAAAATGTAATCGGACCACCTCTCACATACAATATGATGCATATATGTTGGTATGTGATTGCTTTTATAATTTTCATGCAGGTTATACTCCAAAGGTCCCATATACGTTTTAATAACAATATCTGTTACTTTTATGTGTGTGTGTTTGTGTCCTTGTATTTCTAGCTCAAAAAATTGCAGGCCCTGGGAGTAAGGGCTATATTACTTGTGTCAAGGCCTGAAAGAAAAAAAAATGCTTGGGTGTCTGAGGTTTTGGCACCCCGTTGCCAGCTCAGAGAGATATCCAATACATGTCTTGAATGGATAAAGGACCTGTATGATCTTGTTATTCAAGGTAAGAATGTTCTGTTTATTATAAATAACTACAAAAGTCCTGTATTTGATGCTTTGTGTCCCTGTCACAGATAAGGCTATGTTTGCCTAGACTAATGGAGCTGTCAGATTATCATTGATACTTTTAGCTAACTTATTGAAACTAACTGGGAGAGGTTGAAAGCTAACCAGCCTGCTTTTTAACTGCTGTGTCCCTGAGCAAGACTGTTAATGCCTAGTTGCTCCACAGGTGTGCGACTTCTGACATAAATAGCAATTTTAAGTCGCTTTAAATAAAAGCTAAATGAATAAAATGTGAATCTAAAAAGTGCATCTGCTTGGTTTTCAGCATGTTTCTCTTCCGGTTTGTACCTAATAATCACTCATGCCTGGTGGACAGGTCGCAATTTAAAAGGGCAATTTAGAGACACCAATTAACCTAGCCTGCATGTCTTTAGATGGTGGGAGGAAGCCGTAGCACCCGGAGAGAACCCACGCGGACACGGGGAGAACATGCGAACTCCACACAGAAAGGCCAGGGCAACCAGGGTTTGCCCCTGTCTTGGAAACAATCTTCTGTTAAATCAATACTTGTAGTTTGGTAGAACAATCAGTCTGTTCTGAATAATTCAGTACTTCTATAATGTAGGGTGGACCCCACAAGGTGATGCAAGACAAGGGGATGAACCCTCTTCAGTACCAGTCGAACCCCCTACTGGACCACAAATGGTCCAACCAGATCCCCAGGTGGCAGTGGCACTACTTCAACCCAACACCAGCTCCAAATGGACCACAAATGGTGACCCCAGATCACCAGGTAGCAACATCCCTGCAACATCCCCCAACACCCTGACTGGACCACTGAAGGCCCTGACTAGACCCCCAGCAGCCCTTATTGGACCACCGAAGTCCCCAATCGGATTGGCAGTAAGGCCTAAAGGACCCCACACACCTGAAGGACCACGAACAGCCTCCCCAGTTTCTCTTGAAAAAGGTAAGCAAATGAGAAATAAGAGTATTGAAAATAAGTTGTAAGCCCCACAAAACCATACTCTTGATTTGTGTAATGTAAAAATGTAAAAAAAAAAAAAAAAACATAAATGCAGCAGGGGTTTGGTTTTGATTACTGTTCTTCACACAGTTAAACCTGACTAGAGAGTAATCTGATTACTGTTCTTCACAGTTAAACCTGTTAACTATAAAGTAATCCGATTACTGTTCTTCACACAATGTAACCTGTTAACTAGAAAGTAATCTGATTACAGTTTCACACAATGTAACCTCAACTTCAGAGTAATGATTACTGTTAGACACAGTGTAACCTCATAACTAGACAGTAATCTGATTACTGTGTTTCACACAGTTAAACCTGATAACTACAGAGTACATCGCATGGAACTCTACTGGACTGGTGTTTTATTTAAGGAATAGTTAAGAGTTGTGTGTGAATATGTTTCTATATCTTGTCATGTGAATAAATGATATCTGGTTATCCAGTCCTCTATCTGTAGCCATGTTTGAACACATTCATTTCATTTATACAGAGCATATCTTTGGCCACACCAGAACTGTTGCAAATTCAAAGTATTGATTCAACTTGACTCTGAAAGGGAATACAAGTGAAGAAGAAATACAGGTATACATGGTTATGCACCAGTCAATACTTTTCACATGAAAAATTTGGGGATTTTTTTCCGCCCAAACAAATCAACAAAGTATTAATTTGGACCTTCAAAACAGAGGCAGAGCATCATTTCATCTCATGGAAATCAAATATATTTGTATCAAAGCCCCAGTCCACCAGAAGCAGACAATTGCTGAAGAAGCTGTATTTAAGATCTTCAGGTCAGTGTGCCCAAGAAATGTTAATACAACCTAAGAATCAAGGAATTTAGAAGCAGAGAGAAATGATTAAAAGCTACAAAAGTGAAGATTTGTTTAATATTTGTTCCCAAAAGTTCAATAATATAGTAACTCATCTAAAAAAAGCCTCAACACCTCCTATATTGAAAATTGTTTTTATTTAAGTCATGATGTAATTAAAACATGGTCACAATGCAGGACAGGAAAATACAAGGTTGAATTGGTCACTGAATGTTTGACTGCTGGTTATTTAATAAGTTGTGTGCGTAATTGTAAATTCTACATATTAGTTAATACAGACGTACACTATGAACTGGATTAATACCAAAACTGTAACTTCATGATACCATGCAGCCAAAGTACTGTATAAAATTCTGGTGAAAGTCTTCAAAAACACTAAATCATACAAAGTGACTCATGTGAAACAGTGCTATATGCCGTTACACAATACAAATTCTCTCGTAAAGGAAAATTATAAATAGTTAGCAAATTTATAAATATAAAGTGGTCATCAGACTGAACTCCTTTGAGTCGATCAGAGGCACAGAATACATGTATATAAATGCTCACAACAGAAAAGTGATCAGTAACAAAAGCTCATTTGCCATAAGAGTAAACCATCCTAATCTGCAGGTAGTGTGGTTTAAGACCTTCTAAAGAGGTAACATGACCTAACAGGTAAATGGCTTTACAGTATCCAAAGCACCAGAATTTGGATGGGTTTCTACATGCGTACCATGTGCTCATAACTGATTTACATCCGAACACTTCATAAAGATTCGGTCAGAGTGACGTGGCGGCTGGTGTGAAACCTTTGCAAAGCTTTCATTTGGTCCTATGGCACGTCAGAGCTGGGATGCTCAATCGTCGTGTACGTCTCCATCTGTCTTTACAAGTCCATGTCGTGATCGCTGACGCTCTGGCGAAGGTATTCTTCATACAGCTTTTTCTAGAAGGAAAAATAGACAAGTTAAACATACCCCAATAATTTATTGCCAGTACCATTTCAGAGCCAGTCACACACACACACACACACACGCAGTACCTTTTTGGTCTTGACCACCTCCTGAACGTACTCCAGCTTCTCCTGCAGTTGCCTTTTCTGTTTGCCTGACAGAGTTGGTTGTGTCCTGCAGAGAATTGGAAGTGTATGTACTAAACTGTCAGGCTGGAACTAGGGAATATGATATTGAACTTATTGTTTTAAAAAAAATACATAAATGATTCATTAATTATCAAAATACTTGGGATTAGTTTTTCCAAGTAAAAGCAACATAACTAAACTGAAATAACTTGTGTTTACAAACTACAAAAAAAAAGAAAAAAAAAAAAAGAAACACTACTGTGAATGAAAATTGTGCGCTTACTGTATGTAACAGTAACCTGCAGATTAAGAAACATTAGACTAAAATCTTTTTCCTCCTACCTGAAGGAGAAGCGTGCGATGATGAGCAGGAGGAAGGAGAAGAGGACCAGTCCACCACAGCCATAAAGCCGCTGCTCCACAGAGAGGGAGTCAAATATTTTCACTATGGGAGCCTGTGGATTACAAAAGCAGCTAAAATGAGATTTGACTCGCTTTATATCTAGACTACGCAACAACTACAACACAACAGTGAAGGGTGCACTGGCCTGAACACTCACCAGGTAGAGTGACAGTGTCTCTGTGCCCTGGCGGCCCAGAGCCATGTCCAGCAGCTCCTGGGACAGAGTGCCCAGCACCAGTAGGGCCATCAGAGCCAGAGGAATGCTGAAGCCCAGCAGAGTCAGGAAGCAGCTCTTACAGCGCGCCCGTCGGTTCTCAACACTGGTCTGCCTGTGAGAGCAGGGGGTCAAAGTTATTCTCTGAAGGCATCGCTGACTGATGCTACTCTGCGTGTCCCACTAATGTGAAATATCTGCATGGGATTGCGCTGTGCGCTTACAGTCGGAATGAAGAGGAGTCAGTTATTTAAATGCAAAGTAACCTCACGCACATATTGCTCTACAATCAAGTTAATACGGAGTAATTAATGCAACAACAAAGCCTGCCAATTTGAAAGAAATTAAGTGATAATGCAGGCTGTGGCACGAAGAGTTACCTGTCATTACTGAGCGTGTCAGTGATTGCCTCGATGATGAGCTCACAGTCTTTCTCCAGGGAGTTGAGAGTATTCTGTACAGTTTGGTTAATAGTTTTCTCAATGGTGCGACAGACCTCCTCAATCTGGTTGACACAGCGACTTGGCTAAGAACAGGAACACAGACAAAAAAAAAAAAAAAATAATTACAATGTGCACTTCAATTACATGTCAGAGAGTTTAGATTATGACCTGTAAAATAACTGTAATTGTACACAAAGAATAAGTTACAGGAGCAGAGGTATGATCCTAAAACAGGTAGCGTCCTAGAAATCATTGAAAGTGCAACCTTTACCTTATTTGGATTAGGAATGTAGATGGTGGGCATGTCAAAACCACATGTGTTGAGTCCCGGTCGCTTGCAGAGCTCCTGCACAATCTGCATCATTACTCTCTGAGACAGGCAAAGAAATAAGTCAGAGGGTGAGCGTAAAGATGTCCCTTCTGTGCATCACTCGGACAGTAATTCTGTTAAAAAGGACTTTATTTTATGGAAGTGAATGTCCTTTTGTGTTCTGTATTGTACTAACAGGCTTTTGCCGATTGGATCACTTCTCAACGATTGAAGGGATGATCAGCGATTGTTTTTTCATGCACCGAAGGTGATTTTAATTAACTATCCAAACTAAGATGACAGATAAGAACAGTCTCTAGAATCTGCATCCCACTGCAGTGTTTCCCCATTCATTGATTTATTTGTGGCGACACCAAAATATCAACGCTGACCACCACATATTATTTAATATGAGTAAAATCATAATTCTTTGTGGAGCTGCGCGCAGAGCATAGATTCCTGCACTGGCAAAGACACTTGATAGCAGCTTTCCACTACCCACACACTTATGATTTCTCCTGTCCAACTTTGACAATATAAATACATGTGTTTAATATTCTTATAGATGTGGAAACTTACTTTATGATTTCTACAAAGTTATTTATATCAGGTGAGTAAACTGTATTTTCTGACTGAAGAATGGTGACATTCACAAAACGCAAGCTATTAAACGGAGCTGTGCACACCTGTCTATCCGACTCCCCCCCGGCCTCGTCAGCCTTGCTCAGGTAAAAATGCAGGCGATCCCCGTGTTTCTCGTTCAGGTTCTCCACAATGTTGAGGGTGCGCTTGCAAAGAGCCTGACCCATGGGGTCAAAGAAGACCAGAATCAGGTCACAGAGATCACCTGAGGGTCAAAGTGGGAATGACCATTATTTTCCACAACAGACTAAAAGGCCTGTTACAATATATCTATTTCTCATTATATTCTTAGTGTATTAAAACGCATGGTAATGGAAGTATGATGTCATAGTGAACATTTGTGAGTGATTTCCTTGAAACTTTGTCTGTAATTGCTTTTTATTTTGACACAGAATTTAGTATCATGTCACGTTTTCATCATACTGGGATGTTAATTCCACTGAAAATGTTGGTATTAATAATTGAAATATAAAAGATCTTGGTAATCATCATTTGGTATAAAAGTTAATCAAATTCAACCATCAGACAAGTGTGTAACTAGAGTGCAGATTAGAATGAACACCTGATAACCAGTAACATGTATTTTAGCCAATGAAGCTTTTATTTTTTTATGTAATTAAAAGGGAAGTTACTCCATTGTTTCCAGACGACGCCGAGGCTGCTAGTGACGTAAATTATGGTGTCAAAAGTCTGACAGTTGAAGATTAGAAAAAGTGGACCTTGCAATAAGGCCTGCATTAGGAGCGCAAAAGGTTATATAAACTAATCTAACGGGATCAGTTCTGACTCACATGTTACTGTGTACTGGATTTTCAGTGAACCGTCATTGCATGGAACTCTATTGGACTCAAGGTGTTTTACTGAATAGAAATTTAACCTGCAGATATGATTACAAAACTTGAGCTGTCTACAGTTTGCTTTGGGGTAATGAAAGTCAGATCGCAAGAGAAGTGGTGAGACCAGCAGCAACCTGGAAAATGCTCACTAATGGCACAAAAACAAAATCTCTGTCTCTGACAATCCACTGCAGCCATGCACAGATTTAGCAGGTATAGAAAATGGATATATTAACTTTGTTTTCAGTTTTGTGTTTAAGTTTCCAAGCTATTAATCATGTCTATTTTAGCTCTTGTTTAGAATAGTTTAGCTTCAGCACCAAATGGAGGAATAAAGGTAAAAATAAACAGCACACAGCACTATGAATTTTAGTCTAGGCCGGTATTTCACATTAACTCGAGACATCAGATTAAACAAATCTGATCTTGTACTGTTTTTTAAAGTACCATTTAAAATTACTCTATTTATCACAAAGCCTTAGGGGACCGTTGATAAGTACAACACACCAAGAGACAAGGTCAGTTAGTGGCAACCCACCGAGCCAGAGGATAACCTGATCCACATCAAAGGGATACTTCATATCACCATCCACCAACCCTGGCGAATCCACAAAAGTCACCAGGCTGAACCGTTTCTGTCGCGACGTGCAGATCTCTGTGCTTAAGTACTCTGAAACACCTAGAAAGCAATTAAAGATCAGAGAAGTCAAAAATAGGTAAGACAGTTTAACTATTGTTTGTTACCCAATCACTTAACATTAAAATAAGACATTATGCTGAAGCCACATGGCCGTTGATTAACAATAATTTCCTCTATTTGTCTTTAACAAAACTGCAGCCCAATAACCTAAATGCTAGTTTCAGTAACACATCATAAACAATCTTGTTTATCTCCTAGAAGACTTGTGACTGTCGGGCTCATGGCTGCCACACTGATCGATCTGCATTGTGGACTAATAACAGAACAGCAAATCTCTCCATCAATATGTGGGGAATATGGGAATGAATCAGTGTGGCAGCCGCTTAAGGGGATACAAAGTGTGTCATTGTGCTGAGTCTTTGGAAAAGAACAGGGAAGGATTGTGATTTGAACTGAAATATCACCTTTGAACTCTTGCAGAGGCTTGAAGTGTGGATATAGGTGAAGGGTGGCGTTTCCCTAAAGAAATACAAAGTCAAAGAAAGTTTGTAAACCAGGTACCAGGATCTCCAGAAGTACTGAAATCACGAGAGGGGAACTAACTTCAGTTAATGTAATAAGTAATGACTTCAAACAGAAAGTCTGCAATTAACATTGTGATTTATATGGAAATAGTCAATGTTAAATAATTAGAAATGCACATTTTTCTATTTCTACTGGGAACAAACATACACTTTTTTTTTTTTTTTACAATAAATTGCACCTTATTGTTTTTGTACTGTTGCACTCACTGTGAGAGATTCTCTCTTGCGCCCACTTGTAACAAAGCTGAAGCCTTGAGTCTCAATAGCCACTCCAGTGCGCTGGATATGCTCTTCGACATACCTGACAAAAAGAAAACATAGCAAAAAGGAATTTGGAACAAATAATTTAGTGACACACCGGTGAAAGAGAAATACGTTTTCAGGACACTTTAGACAGCTGTCCAAAATAAGTCAATTAAACCAATTCTATTCAGCAAAATCTATAGACAGACTATGTGTAACTATCTGAGAGACAATGTTTCATTGAAATGTTTATTTTGCACGTTTGTTATAAAATTTGTGACTATGAGTTCATACAGACTTATAATATTAAAAATAAAATAAATAAGGGTAACATTAATAAAAAAACTTGTCTAAAATGGGCCATTTTAAAATAATGTTTAGTTAAAAATGTAGTGCTCTTTATGTAAGGTTTTATTTCAACGTAAAAAAAAAAAAAATAGTGAAATGGGTCACATGATCAGACTTTAGTTGGGGGTATAACCAAACCACAAATAACCTTGTTCTGCACTTCATCCAAGAGGCGCACGCGGTAATTGCCTTTCATTTGTTTTACATTTGTGTATCATGTCTGTTAATGTGCCTTTTTGTAGTAATTTTATTTGATGTCATCCCATTTTGGCCTGTTTTTTTAAATGGACACCAGAGCTTGAGAGACTTTAAAATGACAGAGATATATATATATGTCTTATTTGTTTGTAGTTTTCAGATGTCTGTTGAAAGAGTGACAAAATAAGTCTTCTGAAAGACATCTGTATGAGTGACCATTATTTCATGGGGCCAGTGTAGTTATACTATGTACAGGCTAACAAAAAGACCACAGATCTTTTCTGCACTCATGTATTATGGATTGCATATCAGTTAAATTCTCCTATAAACTGCACACAAAATTGTGCCAAGGAGGGATGTAATCTATGCTACAGACACAAATTAAGATGGACAGGCTTAGACAAGATTAGATAGACCTTTTTTCTTTTCAACATGCTGTTTTCTGTTGCGTGTTTGAATTTCTTCAAGCTGCATTATAAAGGCATCGTTTGGTTTGCTAATTGTTGAGTAGTTTGGTCTTGGGTGGACACTCTCTGTAACATCTCCTGGGTCATATTTTGGTGAAATTTATTTACCAGTTGATGAATGAGCTCTTCCCAGCAGAGTGGTTGCCCATCAACAACACAGTGATCTTTTTCCTGGGCGGCAGCAGCTTCACACCAACAGATTCGGCTACAGAGATCAACCCTGAACAACACAAAGAACATCTTGGTGCACAAATAAAGGATTCATCTATCTGGACAAACTGGAATCATCATGGCGCTGAGGTTGCACCTGTGGACTCAAGTCACAGTATAACTTAGTGAGCTGGAGAAGGGCCACATTTCAGTATAAGTATTTATTTTAAAAACAGGGACCCAGAATCCCTGTCTGTCTCTTGTAAGCTAACAACAAAACTCACTTTATTACTAAAAACACTGACTGTGCACATTAGCGGACTCATTAATTAATCATTAGCAAAAGCGTGCCACAGCTGTGCGTGATTAGCATTAATGCTGGCTAACGCAACGTCAGCCAAATCACTTGTAAGCTAGCTAACGGTTAGCATCTCAGGGACACAGTTACCTTAAATTAGCTAACTAAGCTAACCCCCGTCCAGTAAACCTCTCTGAAGCCTAACTTCATTATAAAATAGGTGAATGTTTACGCGATTTCCTCACCACTGTTGGGATCCGTGTACAGTTGATGACAATCCCGCAAGATGCGCTCATCGCAGGACACACCGCCAGTTATGGAGTCTGCGTTTGCGGCACTTCGGCTCTTGATTTTGCCAGACATTGTTGTAAAGTGGTGATATCAAACTGAAGAGACTTGTTCAAGCAAGTACCCGATCCTGTGATCTAGCTATGAACAAAAGCCGGTTGCCTTGTTTGAATTGCCCCGGTCCGTTGAAACACGGGGTAGAGGTAGAAACGTAACCTCGGCCACGTCGTCACTCGTCAGATAGAGCTGGGTTTGTCGCAGAGGCTTCTGGGTAACGTAGTTCTTCAGTCCCGTTCTTCTTCCTCTTGTTTTTTTACGGCAGCTGGCATCCATTGAGTTGCATTACTGCCACCTTCAGGCTTTATTTACCCTTTGCTTCCATTCATACTACATCTGCCTATCTAATCCAGTCGGCCTCAGAAAACCAAATATCCATTTCCTACCCTCCACACTTTCTCCATACTCAATAATAAACTTTTTACTGTATTATCTATCTGTCCTATTTTTTTTAACTGTGTTATCATTTCTGGTCTTTCCTGAGTAAATATCCTGCATGTTATAATAACATGTTCTACTGTTTCAACCTCCTGACATTGTTCACACATTCCTGTAGGATGTTTTCCTGTAATTAAAAGTGTGCTGTTAAGATTGCTATGCCCAATTCTCAGCCTACTTATTATCACCTGCTCTTTCCTCTTTGCTCCCCTACTTCTTGATATACCTACTTTGCTTTGGATTTCGTGTAAATGTCTCCCTTTTATTGCATTATCCCAGCTCTGTTGCCATTGTTGATTTACATTTCTCCACACTATGCCTTTCCCCTCTGATTTTGATAATTTAATGTTGACTTCAACATCTCCTTTTTTAACTGCTTCTTTTGCCACCTTATCTGCTTTCTCATTTCCCTGAATTCCCAAGTGTGCAGGGACCCACAGAAATATGACATTTTTCCCTGCCTAGCTATTCTTGAATTCATAAATAAGACTTCATAAAGCAAGTCCAGGTGACTTCTAGTTGTGCATGTCTTCATGCTTATAAGAGCTGACAGAGTCACTACATTAATATTTCCTTATCACTAATTTGTTCTGTCCATTCCAACGCCATCAATATGGCAAACAGTTCAACTGCAAACACACTCAGACAATCAGATGTTCTTTTGCTATGTTCTAACTGATACCTAGGAACAACAACTGCAGACCCTGTTGTATCTGTTTGCATGTCCTTTGACCCATCTGTGAAAATCTGAATACTTTCCTTATACTTACATTCCCTAAAGCTATAATATACACTAGTTAAATCAGCATTCTTCGTACTACTTTCTGCCTTGTTCTGCCTTTACTTTTAGGAATTGATTCTATTGCTGCCAATATTATACCTTGCTGTCCAGTGTTTCTATGTTCATCCCTTCATGAATCTGACTTAAATATCTATCACTTACATCAAGAAATTCCTCCCAATTAGCCTTCTCAAATATCCATTTCCCCCCTGTGTTCTCTATGACCAGTGGTGTTTCCATATTTATCTTGCACCTAACTGGATAATGATCACTCCCTATAGTTCCTTCATGGTACACTGCCCAATCACATACTGATGCCATGGAATTTGATACCAAAGTGAGATCTAACACAGATTCTTTTCCTGTATGTACATCTATCCTAGTGTTACTGCCATTATTTAAGCATACTGAATTATTTTCATCAAGTAACTCTTCTATCACCTGACCATTTGTGTCTGTTCTATCACTACCCCATAATGTGTTATGTCCATTAAAATCTCCACACCAAACAATATTACTACTATTCTGCCCTTCTATCTCTTCCAGCTTCATTAATTCTAGTTTTTTGCACAGGTTATAATAATTCACAATCGTTACTTCTTTCCTTGCCCACATTTTCACTACCACGCACTCTTGTTCTCTTCTTATCCCTAAAATCCTGTAAGGAATGCCCTGCTTTATAAAGGTGACACAACCCCCGCCTGCCCCCTCCATCCTATCTCGCCTCACAGTTACATACCCATGTAGAACAAACTCCAAGTTTGGTTTTAACCAGGATTCTTGGATACATACAATGTCTGGTTTCCCCCCCCTACTACCTATAAACTGTTTGAAGTCTTGTCCATTAGCTATCAAGCTTGTCGCGTTCCACTGAAGAATTAAAATTATTAGTATTAGGACTATCAACCCACATATGCTGTCTCTTGACTTGACTGTATACTAAGTTCATCTCTTAGTTCTTCCCACCTTAATCCTATCATATCCAAATGGTGCACTGCAGCTTTTACTATGACCTGGATCCGTTCAGTTTTAGATTTGATCTCATATGTTGCATTTATCACTCCTGCAATGAATGTCACCAACTTCTTCTTCTCTACCCATGCCTTCTTCTCGTCTTGCTGTTTTCTCCCCATCACTTGCTCTTTGCTACATCCTCCCTCCTTATGCTTCTTAATCTCTCCTGCCATCTTAACTGCCTCAGCATATGATACTTTTTCCTTTCCTCAAATTACTCGAACCTCCACCTCTTGCTTCAATACCTCACATTCCCAATATGCAACGCTGTGATTACCTCCACAGTTACTACATTTGGGACTCACTCCCTCTCCACACTTTCCATATTCATGACCCCCCCCCCCCCCCCATATCTAGCACATTTCCTCTTTCCTTTGCATACTTTGGCTACATGTCCAAACTCCTGGCAGTTGAAACATCTCATAGGTTTTGGTATGTATTCCCTTACATTATATCTCACAAAGCCGCAGTAAACCTCCTTTGGAATCACCTTTTCTCCAAACTCTACCAACACAGTTTCAGTCTCAATTTTCTCTATTCCTCTTGTCATTCTTTTCACACTCTTAACTGATCCCTCCCTCACTTTCAGGTTCTCCATTAGCTCCCTCATACTGACATTTAGAGAAACTCCAGATATCACCCCTTTGCTACCGTTGATTCTTTGTTCTCCAACTCTTACAACCTTAGACACTTTGATTTTTCCATTGATAGTCAGCTTCTTTGCTTTCACCACCTGTTCTTCACTACTACACCCAAGTTTGCAAGTTTCCATCTCCTAATACCTTTGCATGATTTACTTCCCCCACTTGCCCTTGAATGATTTTTGTTAGCTTCAAGGGATTGATTTTCTTTACTCCCCAGATTTGAGGGAGACTCAAATCTTATCACTACATTAAGCACTCCTGCCTTTGGATTCTTCCTCTCACTTTCTCCTTTGCTTAGACTAGTTGTATTTTTCTTTCTCTTAAACCAACCTGCGTTCCTGTTCTCTCTCCTTCTTACCACCTCTTTCCACCCTTTTCCTCCCCCCTCATCTACGTAATTTCCCTCTTCCTCACTAAACTCCATACTGTTACTATCATCTGTCTCCCTCCGAGTTTGTAAGGAACCCCGCAGGACTACTGTTCGGGACCTATACAGGCCGTCGGTCTATAGTCCTGCACAATGTTCCCCACAAAACCCAATTCTACTGTTAGCAAATCGAAATATTCACTACTTCAACTCGTATACTCAATTTCAAACTCAGCGCCAAACAAACAAATCCTCCCACGCTTCTTCTTTGGTTTGATCGTCGGTTGCCAAACAACTCGCACCACACAGAGCAGCCCCGCACTTCATCCAACAAGAGACACTTAAAAGGGGGGAACTATAATAAATAATAAATAAATACATCTTAAAACTGACTTGATTGTTTGTAACAATCACCATCACAAAATTGGAGATGGGATGAGAGAGAATGTTCATTACTTTGGAAAAAGGCAAACAAGTTAGATACAGTGTGTACTGATACACTGTTCAAATGTGACACCTATGTACTTTTCTAAAGGAGACCATACAAATTAAAAATGATGGGAAGATCATTGGTTTTGTAGCATTTAATGGTGCATAAGTTCTCAATATTTACATAATATTTATAATTATCACTATGAGGAAAAATGCACAAATCAAGCACTTGTAATCATTTACAATTTCAAGTGACTCAATTAATAATAAAAAATAAAATAAAATTTGAAGATAGTCAGTGCAAGTTTATTAAGTTGACACCTCTGGGTTCATTTTCATGGTATAGCATGTACACACAATCCAATCCATCCAGCAAAACACTGGCCATAACAATGAATCTAATTACAGTTAAAATCATTTGATCACTTCTGTTGTGCAGCATCTCAGTGATAAAGCTCTCTCTCATCCCATTGTTTATTTAGTTTTGTCTTTCAATAACAAGCCAAAACCACATTAGGCAGAAAAATAATAAAATCAATCAGAACTTTGAAAGCAAAGATTAGAAGGTTTTGAGACTGGCAGGTTGCCAATTTGAATAATACCACTGGGGGAATCTGGATGGGAAATACTCTCCCTTCCTGCAACAAATGCTCCAGTGGAGCTGGTAAGTGGCCTTGGAGAACTGGGAGACTACCATGAATGTGCATCTTAGGTGTGAAGATCTTTAGGATTATGCCTTATAATGTACAACTGTATTATAGTGAGGTTTGAACAGCAGAGTCTCCCCACACACAGCTGCTGGTGTCATACTCGAATACAACTGAAAATCATGTCATGCAGGTTGTGGCCTGAGCAGTGATGAGAGCAAATAAATAGGGCTACCAGTATTTGTGGCACCTCCTCCTTCACACATCACATCTTATGAAATCTGTTAATTCAGCCAGAACATGCAAAGTAAGATACAAACGATTTTGCAGCTCTCTCTTTTTTTAAACTAAATTCAGCTTGGTTGACTGTTGATGGCTGCCTTTTGATGACAGAAGTGTCCATGTGTTAGTGGTTGTATCAAGAATCCTAACAGATACAGGCAGATAATGAGTAATTCTCCATCCCTGCTGTATCGCAAAGTATGCTTGGCAGTGAGATGACGCGTAACGATGTGAACGTTTTTGGAAGGGCAGGCTGTTGAGTGTGAAATGGCCTTTGCCTCCACCGTCCGTTACCATTTGAAAACATGCTTGTCCTCTAGCTCAGCTGCTCAGATTCAGTGTACTGCTGGGCAGTGTGGGGAGCTCCAGCACTTCTTCATATTCTATTCACATGTAAAGATCAAAGTGAGTCTGCACTTTTTCATTTTGATTGCCCCCCTCCATTATCACACTTAAGTTAATGTAGTATGTGTTGTGTTCAGCAGCTCATTGTGTTTGTTCTTCCGTGATCGCCCTGGCTTAATGTGATCCTTGTTAACGTTAAATAAATTAGCATAATTTGTGCCAACACAAATAATGTGGTTTACCACCCAGCAGCATCTTGCATTTTACAGTCTCATGTTAGGTTTCTGCCAAGCAGTTAGCTTTTTTTCCCCTTTTCTGTGACAAAAGAATAGCAGCTCTAGCATTGTTGGAAAACTTTGATTCCGCACCTTTTAACATCGGATGAGCCACTTTTTCAACCTTTCATTCATTACAAAACTTCTACTAAATTACTCTAAAAACAGCACAGTAACAATGTTGTTGTACATTGAATGGTGGACATACATATGAGTGTCAAACTAGTGAGATGCATATTAGGCTTTCACAATTATACATTTACAAGTACGATTATTATGTTTAAATTAGTGAGGGAAGATTCATAAAATGTTAGGTGTCATGTGTCCTAAATGCACAAGCATTCACAGGACACAGATTATGTCAATCTATTTAAGTCTGTCCTTGGTCACCAGTGAGCTTTCCTCTCTTTGGCAACCAGCTCTAGGAAATGGGAGTGACTCGCATAAAGCGGGAAGGACGAGTCAACATCAACCCACTGGACTTGGCCTGCGTCATCGCCAGCTTGCAGCGGCAGCTCGCTCACACTGTTGCCTGCAATAACAGTACAGATATGTCAATGCCCTACAAACACGCTATTAATTGTCTGCAGAGAGACAAGTCTTTTAAAATGGTTTGCAAATTGCTGGAGCAGTTGTCGCATGAACAAAATTCTGGATCTGTAAAGCAGAATTTTCAGTAGTGACAGTGCAAAAGGAAAAAATGTTTTACTATTATTTATTATTGATACCTGAGTCATCATGGAAGTTAACAGCGACTGTCTCCATCCAAGCATTGTCAGTGTTTCTAGGATCATCCACGTAGCCTTTATAAACCTGAAGGAGAAAAAAACATATTGCAGCTTTCCTCAGAGAAACAGTTGTTGATTTAAACATGACACTAGACAAGCGAGCGGGTGTCGGTTTTTGACCTCAAACCCTGCCGATTTAAAGAGTTCGGTGATGCGCTTGTGGATTTCTGCTCTCTCTGATGGCGGGACAGCCAGTGAGTTCAAGGCTTCTTCCGAGAACTCCCGTTGCAGCGTGAGAGAGACCTGCTCCCCTGGATCTACCATCCCCTGCAAAAGAAGCACATACACACAATTAATCAATCAAGTCACAGGAACATCTTACTTGACTGCAAATTTACTTTTTGTTGTCCCTGAGCATTCTTGAATAGCTGTGGTAAGGACTATGAAAAGCAGGGTAGAATAACACAATGTGAGAACAGAAATTGGCAGAGAAATAGAGTGGGAAACAACAGAGCTCATCAATAAAGCTTGAAAACGAAATGTAAATGCCACCAACCCCAGGAATGGCCCACTCCCCACAGTCTTTCCTCTTTATGGACACAAATTGCAGGATAGGCTGTTTGGACTCCGAGTGTTGTACCTTTTCTCCTTCACCATCTACTTTCCATCTACAGGACAGTGACATACATTAGGTCTCTCCCTTTTAAATCATTCTAATGTAATTAAACTGAGCAATGAACTATGGTTTGTAAATATCTGGATTACACTGGCATGTAAAGTGAACTAATAGTTACCTGGTAACAATGGGATCTGCTGCATGATTGGGTCCCCATCGTCCCAGCAAACCTCTTCCAGACAACCCTGTGCGCCCATGTGGATTTCTAAAAGTGAATGTGCAAATTATTTATTTAAGATATGTTTGCTGAAATTAATTAATGAGAAATACTGTTACAAAGAGTATTTTAGACTTTCCAATTAAAGACTTTACTTTTTAGTGCTCCCAGCCGTGCTCTGGTCAACCTGACATGTTTGCAATTTTTTTGACAATGACATGTAATGTAATGACTCCCTGTAATGTTAAGGGGTTGCTAATACTAGCGATCCCACTGAGAATTAACATCACAGACAGCAGCTCTGTGCAGCTGCAGCTATTTGTGAAAGTAACATTAGTAAAGTGTCTGCTAACATATTAGCCATCAGAAATAGATAAGCTGATTTAGTAAACAACTTTTGTGACTTTCTTTTGGAGACGACTTTCTACTCCTCAAGGCTTGGAAATCATGTTTTTTGAGCAAAACAAATCCAACTGACAGTGTTACGAACTAATGTTATCTAAACGTCAGAGAAACCCTTTAAAGTACCATTTCTCTAGGAACTCGATAACTTACAGTGGCCTTCCGTTTTCGATTTTGTAGCTGCCCTCAAAGCTTGTCCTGTCCACGGCACCATCCACAGTGTTGAACTGTGGAGAGAAAGCGCTGCGAAACAAGCAGAAGTCATCTAATCTGGCATGAATAAACTCTAGCTGATCTTTGAAAACAAACAGCTTGTATAACAGTCAGAATGTCTCACAAAAGGCAAGGAAATAGCAAATATTTTGGACTATATAAATATATAATTCACATACAGTACATTCTGAAGTGTATTAAAATATATTTGATGCATTTTAATTTGGTGTTGCTCACTCTATATCAGGATCGGCCCATACTGGCTTCTTTACTACTAAAGGGTCAGTGTAGATGACTGGATTATACTGTGGCCAGTCCTGACTCCAGTCCACCTTGTCATCAGGCACTGGGAAGCGCTGGATTTTGGACCCTGGATACTCGGGGCATCTGGACTTGACATGAGGTGCTGCTGAGGATGGCATTGTCCCGACACTGGTAATGAAGAGGTTACACCAACCGGTACTAATAGGTCTAACGGTTTGACTAGTTCTGATAGGATGCGTAGATAAGCAGGAGATGGCAGGCCTGCTGGGGAGGAAATATGAGATGTGAAAATGCCTTCCCTGCAGCAGCGTGGTCACGTCACCACCACACATGCACTCCTCACCCTCCTGGACCTTCAGCAAATTATGGAGAAGCCTTCCCCCTCAAGGGATGAGAGCATCCTCTGTCATAAACTGACAACACATTGGAGGAAACACTCAGGAGGAAACCACACACTTAAAGCTGGGCTAAGGCAATTTAGTTCAGATGCATTTAAACATGTTTTTTGTTGAAACTCTCTTCTCTCCCAACTGCAATCAATAACGCTCTAAAAAATCCAGTCTGTGTTGCAGGACTGGTCTGCCTTCCTTGCCTTTATCCACTTACCTCCATTGTGCATAAAAATGTGTTTTGGTGGAGTGGTTTTGGAGGGAGGCCCGAAAGGAGGGATTTTTTTTGACAGATACTTCCTAAATCTATCGGTTTGTTGCATGTTCTCCAACATTGCCTAACCCAGGTTTAACTGTTTGTCCTTAGAGCAGTGGACTCCTACTACTACTACACTGCAATACACATCTGTTGTCTAAATTAATTATGGTTTATTTTACCTACCTCTGGACGATTACATGTTGAATTTTGTTTAACATTCTATTTCACAATAATACATTAAACTGAAATAAAGCTTAACTATAATTCTGCACGTAAACCACGTCAGTATCAATGAAAACAGTTGGCTACGTTAATCGTTATGTCTACTGTAATGTTGACTCCAATCTTGTCGCCTGGCTCTGCTAACAATGTCTCTGATTAGGAACAGAAATAGCTGCCGCAGCACATAGCTATGTCTAATTTTGATTAGAGCCTAAATTGTCTTTAAATGTGTAAAATAATCATTACTCTTCTAGTTAACTCCTGATAACTAACACTGCTGTCCATACCTTAGTCCGGGCGAGCAGACGGTGTACGGGAGTCCGAGGAAAGTGAGCGCTAGACGAATCCTGCCGATCCAGTGTCGTCGCAGAAGAAACTGTACCATTCCTAATCAATAGTTCAACAACATGCAGAGTAGAGTAACCAGGAAGTGCACCGCCTGGCGCGGGACGTCTGCAAAGGGGCGTGGCTGCAGCAGTCGCAATCGTTTCCATGGTGAAGATTCAAGTACTGTCTCTCTTAAATAAATAAATAAATAAAAGTAAAAGAAATAGATGGAAAGATCGATTTTATATCTATACCTTATTACAAACTTCAAAACACAACATTATTTAGTTATTTTCAAATTCAAAGTCAAAAACAAAGTGCTTTGTTTATTTGATCTGACAATGTAAATCACTGTTATTACACAAACTTATTAGAATTGGTAAAACTATCAAAACATAAACAAATGCCAATCTCATCAACATCGATACAAATAAAATAAAATACGAAATACAGGTATTAGAAAATATAAGTAATGTGCAATTTGGAGATATAAAATACATTCTATACAAATTGATATCATCACATTTTAAGGATTTGATATGGGTCTTACCCTTTTTATATACAATCTATGGTCTTACCTTTATCTCCCTACACTGAAATGATATTTCAATATTTTTTTTTCCTAGGGTGGCGAAGGCGTGGCCCGTTCTACCCTGCCTCTGATAGGCTAGTACTCGTTACCTTCGTTGGTTGGATTGGTTAGGTTTAGTCAGGAGAAGCATGATTGGTTAGAATTAGGGTAAGAACATCAGGGTAAGCCAATCAAAGATAGAGTACGGCGGTCATGCCTCGCCATCCGGGAAAAAAGGGTTTCTCTTTACTAAAACATCATAGATTAATATGAATATGTCTAAAATGTAAGACTGCACCAATATATGATCATTTGCCGTCGACTATAATAATTGTATCCTGTTTTATTAAATGTAATCTTGATAAAGTCCTTACACAACAGAAAGGCCTCACCTGTGGGCTCAGTGCTCTAACATAACGTTAGTGGGTGCCACAGAGTGCCCCATTTATGCTACAGCACTCGTGGTTTACGGGGCCGGATAACCACAAAAATAGATTTGATCATTAAGTCTTATTATTCTCGTCAACAGGCAGCATGCAACATATTTCGGCACGCCCACTCGTGGCTGCTGCATGTTTATTTGGCAGATCGCGCTTGTTTCGCTACAACATCGGAACTGAATAGGCGGCGCCTGTGGCCTAATGACGCGACTCCGCCCAAACAAGTCACTCTAGTGTGCAAATCTAACACACCAGTATTACAGTAGTTTAGCACGCGCATTTACGCTCGGTGCTGAGACCAAATCCGCGCTCGCGAACGAAATCCATTTACTCTCCAGTAGTTGCGAGGCCCCTAGTCGAGTCGCTCTGCGCCGTTAATCTAACAATCCGCTCGGTTAAAGCCCCGGACAGACGTCAAACCGTGCAGAGAGCGGCGGCGGTCCCTCGGTGAGACTCAGTGACAGAGCAGGAGCGGTTCGGAGAGGAAGAATGGCGGATTCAAGCGGCACCGCAGCGGTCGGGGCCGCAGGCTCCAACAGCGCTGCTGCCGGGGCGGCTGGCACGGTGGCCCATGATGTAGCGCCCGCACCTGCGGGACCCAAGCCCGGGTGCGAGTCCGTGAAGGGCCAGATGTTTGATGTGGGCCCCCGCTACACGAACCTGTCTTACATCGGGGAGGGGGCTTACGGAATGGTTTGGTAAGTTGTCGTCTCTGTTGGGCCGTAGTAGTATCTGAATCAGAAGTGCTCGCTAACATTAGCTGTTTGTTAGACAGCTAACCTCAGCTGTTGTATTCAACAAGCGTCGTGCATTAATAGTGAGTGCATCTGCCCAACATTCACACATTGAGGAACCTGAAGGCAGCTAATGTTGTGGTTAGCAGGTTAGCCGACTAGCTAACTTTACAGGCGTGGCTATGAGCTTTACAGGAAACATAATTGGGAGTGATTGCGCAGGACGTAGGTTGCTCTCCCATGATAAACCTTTTGCAGACTACATTTGACCGCAAATTTGAGTTAGTTATCGCTGGAGCCATTTTATACGTCCGGCATCAGTCACACAATCACATTCATATCTACAGGAGCTGTGTTTGCTGAACATTAAGCCTGCAGCAAAGCTGTTGCAGAGGATGCGAGAGGGATTTGTCAGTTGTAGCGAGGCCTTTCCTCGTGTTATCGCTGTATGAGATCTACAGCCTTGTTGGAAATGTTAAGTAACCCTGTTGCACTTGACATCGCTGCCAAGTCATTGCTATCGAGGCTGAATTGTGAACGCGATCAGATGTGACAGCATTGCGTGTCAGTGGACGTTAGCACGAGAGCTGAGCCCACACGTCAACAAGACACGCCGTGTAGACTGTCATGTTCACACAGGAGTGTGACAGCACGGTACCATTCTGTCAGTGTCATCGTGGTCATGTGGTTCCACTGTGCAGCATTTTGTGTTTGTAAACACTGCCAGCACCCACTGGTTGGTACAGTGACAGAAAACCAATTAGTTTGATCATATGATTCGCACCAGTACGTTGGTGTACAGATGGCTCCAAATATGAATTTAACCAATGCGCACAACCAGTGCTGTTTGTTCTTGTCATAGTATTTCAGTTATTGGAAATAGGCTCACAAGCGTGTGAACGTGCCCAGTTTATGCTGTGTGTTGTGCAATAAGAGAGTAGGCCTTTACCAATAGGAGAGATGTGATGTAACTGTTGTTCCTTTTGAGGTTCTCTGTAAAAACCAAGGCAGTGATGGGTTTTCATAATTTGGGTCCCAAAACCTACAGGGGGATGAACAATAAATTCAAGGGTCCCATGGTCCCAGCCTGGTCTCTATTCTCCGCCTACACTCAGGCCTACACCTACAGAGCTTCACCACATATCGGCACAAAAAGAAATGTCTCCTGTGCATATTGGCCGTCTGCAACGCCCTTTTGGAGATTAGCGTTAGCCCAGTTTCTGATAGCGTCATTGTGCATGAATTGTATAGTGTGTAATATGAGACCTGTTTTGTGCTTCTTTCCACTTCCACCCTATCCAGCTCTGCTGTGGACAACGTGACAAGCCAGCGCGTAGCCATCAAGAAAATCAGCCCATTTGAGCACCAGACATACTGCCAGCGCACGCTGAGGGAAATCAAGATCCTGCTGCGTTTCCACCATGAGAATATCATCGGCATCAACGACATTCTCAGGGCACGGCACATTGACAACATGAGGGATGTGTATCCTTTTTAATGCCTTACAGCAGAGGTTTTCAAAGTGTGAGGCGAGCCTCCCCAGAGGGGCTCCTAACAATTTCAGGGGAGGCTCAGTGAATGGAAATCAAACAATATTACATTACTTATTATATTAGTAATGTTAGTGTGTGTGACTTGGTTAATGAGAGAGTTCAGAGATACAGTGGTTTTGGTGAACTGTTTTTCCTACATTACCAGCGTCAGAAAATCTATTTTGTGGAGTCTGAAGTTAGTCAAACAGCAATATTAGGCCATTTTGCCTCAATTGTTGAGTGTCTATGAGATCAAATAACATAATCATGATCACAAAGGCATCCAGGAATTGAGCGAAACTAAACAAGTAAACTGGTGGTGAGGGGCACCTTTTCTCAAGATTTGTCTGTGGGGATGCCCAAAGTCTTAGACTTTGAAAACCCTGCCTTACAGGAAGCGGCTCACTGCATGCTGTTCATGCATGTCACTTATTCCCCAAATTTAGATCGAATCCAACTATTACTGGATTAAACTGATTTTGCTAAGTTGCTGTAGTGCAGCCTCCAAATCAGTACTTTTATCAAGTCACATTTTTGTTCTTTGAGGGGGGGGGGCACAAAAGAGAAACCAGTTTATTGCTACAGCTCTGTTTGTTCATTTTCAGAATTCTGCTGTGACTGCTCCTGACTTAAAAATGTACTGAGGCAGTGTGTTTTCATGTTGAGATTAAACCAAACAAATAAACAAGGAGTTATTAATCCCGCTTTCACTCACTATACCTTTACCGTAGATCTTTGACCAAGAGTTCAGTTAAAAGACCAGCGTGTTTTCATCAGTGTATATTCACCTGAAATTAAAAATCGTTCGTTACCTTAGAATGAGCAAATGAGAATTAATATATACACAGAGAGCGGGTCCTCGTCCAGAGTCCACCATGTTGCACCAGCATGTTTCTGCAGTAGACCAGAATGGACAAACCAAGCCCACAAAACCACGCTGTGGTCAGTTGATGAAATGTAGATGTATCAAGAACACCCTTTGATATCCTGTTACAAAAGTAGCGCCGCTCCTTGTCGTGTGCGTAGCGAGTGTGTGGTTGAGAGAGAGAGAGAGCGCGGGTGGCAGAGAGTGACGGTGAATGCGAGCAGCGTAGAGGAAGGGGTTAGTGGTGAGTGAACTTGTCCGTTTAGCAGTAAATGTACAATGTTTGTTATAGTTTTTCAGTGAGCAAAGGCTGCAGCTCCACGAGACCAAAGTAAAGCCGCCGCGTGTTTCGCAACTGCTGGAAAAGTAAAGTTTGAAGATGACGCAGGGGCAGTTTCACATGGTGTCGCCTCTCTACATTGCGGGGGTACTATCTGCAGTGGAAAACAAAGTAGATAAAAGTATCTGGGACCAAAAGCGTGTAGAGTCAAGTCGAGCCATATCATGCGTAAATCCTACACTCTGATCCTTTTTAATAAGGAGAAAAGCTTTGAGACAATCGTGGTGTTCTTGACGGTTAGGGCTGGACAAGCTAAATGTAAAATATATGTATAAATAACACTTTGAATTGTTTTGAGGTGTTACTGATAATTATTCTAAATCACAACTTGTACATAGATTTTTGTTTAATAGCTGTGTGTTTCGAATCAAAGTTAATGCAAAAGACATTTTAAAGTAATGCAGATGTGTTGCCATGTTGTAGAGTTAAACATGTAAGAAGTACTCTGTGATGTCGGACATTAACTCAAACTGTCTCCGTTTAATCTCAGCTTTACACTGTTAAACTTTTTATCTAATACCTGTGTTAACTGGATGATCATTGGAGTATTTTGACTAGTTTTGATGCAGCATGTTATTATTTACCGACATTATTCAGGTCAGGTCTTGAGCAACAGTTGTGATCACTTGCAGAGCGGCTAGCAGTGGACTGTAGGCACGGAGGGTCAATGAGTTGCTGCCCCGGCAGTTTCTCTATGAAAAGCGGCTTTGTCCACTGGAAAACTGAAAGGACATGTGTGATGTCCTTGTGTTTTTTTTGTGGCCGTTTCTTGTTGTTGTTTTTTTTTGTTTGTTTGATCTTAGTTGCTCCACTTTGTTGTATTGTGCTGTTGGCTTGTGATGAATCGTGATTAGGGCAGATGTAACCAAATCCAGTTAGTGGTTCCTTCTGTATTTAGCTTTGCATACTAGGGTCTGTTAGTCAACAAGACTTAAGACCCTACAGCCATGTGAGGCTGCACTTAGGTACAGTGGTGCATTGAGCTAAATGCTAACAGGCTCACAATGCTAACATGCTGATGTTTTGAAGGTATAATGTTTACCGTGTTCGCCATCTTAGTTTAGGGTGTTCGCATGCTGACATTTTCTAACTAGCACTAAACATAAAGTACAGCTGAGGCTAATGGTCATAAACCAAAGAAATTGAAAAATTTAAATTTTGACCTGATGGTGTTGCTAGATGAAAAGTCAGCTCATCGTGTGGAGGATATGATCCATTCAGTCGTTGTAGTTTACTCAAGCACAAATGTGAACCTCATGTCACAATGTGATCATTAGGAGTCCTCTTCTGGAGACCATGAATATCTACACAAAAATGTCGGGATATTTTAGTCTGGACCGACCATCTTTACAGCAAAAAAGCTTGTACCATACGATATACTTTATTGTCCCTGTGGGTAGGGCTGGGCAGTAAAATAATAATCATTTTATTTATATAGCACATTTAAAAAAACTAAGTGCTGAAAAAGAAATAAAACATAAAAACTCATATAAAACAGCTTGCATGCTGGGTTAAAAGCCAGGGAAAACAAGTGGGTTTTAAGACGTGATTTAAAACATTCGAGGGTCGGGCCAATTTGACCTGTGGAGGAAAAGGGACTGAAAAAAGATTTACTATTTTGTTTTTTATCATAATAGTTTTGAATGGTCTCCGTCAGATTTGTTAAGTGATCCACTGTTTGGCATCAAGTGTTTGTCTCATTCTGACCATAAAGAAAAGTTTAACCACATAATTAACTATCTGGTTTCTTCAATTTTCAGTCAGGAGCAAAAATCAGCCTTTAAACTTGAAAGAAATAACGATTTGACATTTATCGTGATAATTATCGAATGATATGAAATGTTTTTATCGCGATAACATTTTTGGCCATATCACTCAGCCCTACCGGTGGGGAAATTTGTTTTGGGCTCAGCGATGCTGCGTACATTAAAAAAGAATAAATATTATATAAACATAATTTCCAATCTACAGACAAACGGACATCTAAAAACATATTGAAACATTTTACCCACATGTCAACATTGCACAATGCCAGATATTGTCACCGTATCTCTGTTGCACTCTTAACAACATTCCAGTATGGCAGACTTTTATAAGATCTTGTGTTTTTGGTTTTTTTTAGCCACAGAGCATTTCTCACTATTAGAGCAGAGGTTTTAGCCTCCTCTGGGTCTTTTGCAACTGTGTTTGTCCGTTGTGTTCGTAGAATAACTTTCAAACGAGACACTAGATATTTTAGTTGCTAGTTGTGGTTGTTTCATGTTGTTCATGATTTGAGGAACAAAATTATTGCCACACAGTTATTGCACTTCATTGACCAACCTGACAAAATTTAAGTCTTGCTTTCTGAGTTTTCCCAATGAGACACAAGTCTAGTGAAGTCTGTAAGTAGAACAAATATGGCTCAGCAACTCTTGGATTTGTTCATAAATTTATGTTGGTGTCAGTTAATACCGTCTGCCCTGTCGTCGTCGTCCTTGACCTGCCGCCCCTCCAGCTACATTGTGCAGACTCTGATGGAGACGGACTTGTACAAGCTGCTGAAGAGCCAGAAGCTGAGCAATGACCACGTCTGCTATTTCCTCTACCAGATCCTGCGAGGCCTCAAGTACATTCACTCAGCCAACGTGTTGCACCGTGACCTCAAGCCCTCCAACCTGCTCATCAACACCACCTGCGACCTCAAGGTCAGCGCGCACACACACCCACCCACCCACACACACACACCCCCACATCACTGGTGATAACTAGGATACTGTATCTGTTTTTGTCAGCAGCCTTTCCCAGGATGGTGATTGGTTTGTTATTTTAGGTTTTAAACATGCCCCTACATGCTTGTGTGTGTGTGTGTGTGTGTGTGTGTGTGTGTGTGTGTGTGGAAATCCTGCATTTATGTTTTAAATTTAGTATAGGTATTAAACATTTTCTGTAATTCAAAGTTGGTAACTTGTACACTTCATTTTGAGGGGATAAAAGTTAAAAAAGATATTTTCACAATCTCACATGATGCATTAAAGTCAAATGCTTATTTTCAGTTTTCTAAAAAGAACTGTTCTGTTTATTTAAACATCACCACCAGCAGTTAGTTGCACCAGCTCTCAACAAGCCTGACAAAGAATCTCATGAATGTGGAATACAGGTGATGGATTGACCCGAGCCCTTCCTTGCTCGTCATGACCCTGCCAAAGAGTGGTTTCCCTTTCGATGTTACACACTTTCAGCCTTGAAATGTGCTGTTCTCTTACGCCTTTAACAGTTTTATGACAACACAGATGGCGGCCTGCTCTGGGGTGCTGTTGGTCTGCGTGTATCTCGTATCTCGTCCGAATCGAATTGGCTTTAGTATTTTTAATCTAGGTCTCCTGCACAGCTGAATCAGGTTTGGTATTTGCAGATACTTAATATTGAGTCACAGTTGGATTGGGACGTTGTAAAATTCTCTCCGAAGGCATTTCCATTTCCTGATTCCACTTTGTGGTGCGTATCTTAGCAGATAGCTAGCCAGTATCTACCATGGAGCTTATTAATGAGGATCTAAACTATTACTAATATAATTCATCGTCCTGTTAGGTGTCAGTACCTTAGAACCACAGAGCGTCTTTCTGAAGGCGTTGTCCATAACACAATACAGCTGCAGGATGTTTAATGTGTAAAGGGCGTGGCCCTGGCTTTTTCTCAGCTGGCAACAGCAGCTGTGTTACTCAGTACTTCTCGTGTCTTCCACAAGGATGAACATTCATATTTCCAAACTGAATAACTTGTAATGTGGACTTTATCTGTGTATGTATGTATGTACAGAAAATGAAGATGAATTGAATTACTTCACGCACAATCAAATCACTGGGCTGGGGTTTGCTGAAATGCATTCTGGGAAATGTAGGAAACCACAATTGAAGTGCACCATAAGAGAGAGGGTGTTGAACCATAAAAAATAATGATGTACAACTAAGAAAAATAATTGAGAACACTGTTGTTGTTTTTTAACGACCTCCGAGTCAGGCTGCTCAGTTTGTTCCATCAAGGACTCATTTAGCTCTCTCTTAATTTAGTTTCTGCAGTTATTTGTAAGTAGTGGTCTTACAAACCTGAAACGAACTTGATATAAACACACAAAAGCTGTTATTGCCAGTGGCTTTTCTCTCTCTGTGAAATGAGCCATCAGGCTTCTCTCTGCTGTGCTGTAAAGCCAGAGTACACTTGTGAACTCTCAGCAGCCAACCATCAATCCCTGGATTAGTTGATCATGTGGGAGGAGTAAAAGAACAAAGGCAGCACATGTTGCAGCTGCTTTCTGATTCCTCTTACCTCTCCAGGTGGTGGGGGATCAAAATAAACCTATAAAGCTTTACATTACATCAGTGACTTTGTACCATTACTACATATATAATTGAGTATTTGCAATGTAATTCTAACATTTCAAATAATTGATCTACACAGCTAACATAGATTAATAAATAAAGAGATGATAAGAGTTTGAAAATAACAAAAATAACATGACTGGATTACCCTGCAAGGTGGTCCCAGCGTACACTGAGTGCAGTATCACTCTGCCTGGTTCCAGATTTCCTACAAAAACACAATTTAAAAGATGTCAAAACAGGCCTTTAAGATTAGAAAGTAAAGCAGGAGAAATAAAATGTTAAGAGAAGCATAAAAGTAGTATAACTGGTAGAGCAGGAGTGCCATCTGAAGTGGCTGACATGTCTGTGACACCTCTGAGCCTTTGTGTCATCCTCAGATCTGTGACTTTGGCCTGGCGCGGATAGCCGACCCTGAGCACGACCACACAGGTTTCCTGACCGAGTACGTGGCTACGCGTTGGTACAGGGCTCCAGAAATCATGCTCAACTCAAAGGTAGGTGTGTGAGTAACTGGTGTGGATTCTGTATCGGGATGGAGAGCATTTTCAATAGTTGACTGCAGGTACTATGTGTGTGTTTGTGTCTCAGGGCTACTCCAAGTCCATTGACATCTGGTCAGTGGGCTGCATCCTGGCCGAGATGTTGTCCAACAGGCCTATCTTCCCTGGGAAACACTACTTGGACCAGCTCAACCACATACTGAGTGAGACAAAGTTTTCACTCATTTCTACAAAGTGTGAACACTGTGAAGTTATTTGAAGCACCTAGTACGTTCATCGTGCAAGACGAGCATTTACGTTGGCATCCATTCTGCTTTTCTTGTTGTTATGCTCTGTCTTTGTTTATCCTTTAAATTACAACAAAGTTAAACGAGATGTACATATAACCTGCACAGTATTCTTCACTCAAGTATCTCAACTTTTGAAAACCGAATTTGCGTCATTTCTGTCTTGTAAAAACAGTAACTAGAGTTAGATGTGATTGAGCTGAAAATGGGTCGAGCAACACTTGATTTGACGGCATTTAAGCAGGTTTTTTAAACACATCTGCCACACAGGCCATCAGTTGGGTAGCCATATACTGAAAGATGTCCTCTACTTTCTGTGCAGGCGTCCTTGGTTCTCCATCTCAAGAAGATCTAAACTGCATTATCAACATGAAGGCGAGGAACTACCTGCAGGCCCTACCTGAAAAGCCCAAAGTCCCATTTGAAAAGCTGTACGTCAAGGCGGACTCAAAAGGTATGATAAACGCCTACTCATTTGTAAACCTGGAATGTAAGGGAAGAAAATAAGACATGTATATTTAGAATAACAAAATCTAATCTAAGGGAAGTTTGTATTGCCGATAGTTGGCTGCTGTGTAGTGGGTCCAAGACTGATCCAGTTTAACTGTTGAGCTGGATCAGTCTGACTAGATGTGAGCAGCAAAGGGGTTTTCTATCAAGCTGCATCAATAGGCCTTTAGTACAAGTACCTTTTAACCTGAAGAGTATTTTTGTATAACATGCTTTTAATTAGGGCTCGGCAAGTTAACGCGTTAATTAATTAACAGAGACAATGATTTTATCGCACGTTAACGCAGTTATTTTGAAAGTCCGTTTCTCACTGGCTCTGAATACATATAAAGTCAAACCATGGGTCACAGGAAGGGCAGTATGTTGATCAGCCTGCAGATCACCCACCCAAACAAGCAGCGGAAGGAGGCTTCAGCAGTCTACACTGGATGCAGCGTGTGGGAGAAGTAGTTAAACAAACAAAAGCAAGACAAGTGATCAAATGCCATAGCAAAGTGGATAGCTACACACTGCATGCTGATTAGTATTGGGGAAGATGTCCGTCTTAGGAACATTCTTAAATTTGCAACGTAGTCTCTTGGCCCCGCGGGGTTTCTCTTTGCTCCAATGATCAGACAGATGGGGAGACAAGCGCTCCGCGAGTAAACAGCAGGCACTCTGTGGGTAGTAACCATGGCAACGTCTTCTGTGCGCTACACAGCTACAGCGTATTTAACTCAAGTTACAATTATAGGCTACATAACTTTACCTGATAGGCCTTCATCTAGTTTTGCGGGGATGCTCTGCCATGTGAATTCCCTCCTGTTGATGTCCTATTAAACAGTAATAGATTCTGGAAACTCACAAACAGCGAGGATCAGTCTCTCTTCCAATGATTTATGCTGCTCGTTCAGACAATTCAACTTCTGCGGCGGGCATGTGTGTGAGGCGAGCACAACCACGACAGTTTCATGGGAATGCACCCGCTGCCCTGGCAGTGGCAAATAGCTTTGGTTTTATATTTGATTTGATTACATTAATGTTTAAGTTGAGATTTACAACAAATATTTTATTTACTACTGTGTAAAGGGAACACAGCTGGTAAAAAGCACCTTATTTGTTTAAAGTGTTTGCAAACCGCACGTTATTGCACTTGTGTAAATAGCAGTATTTAAATTATAAGTGCGCAATACAGTACTTTAGAATTCAATATTTAATTTTGCACAAAACAATGCGATTTAATCACAAGAAAATCATGCGATTAATCGTGATTCAAATTTTTCATCGTTGCCCAGCACTACTTTTAATGTGGGATTCTTATGTCAGATGCTTGGTACAAAGCTGTTGTATTGGCTTTAGTTGTTAGAATAATAAACATATTGTTTACATTAGTGACACCAATTAAACAGGCTGATATCTGGAATATGGATACCTGCTCCCTTGTAAAAGGGAGGGGGGGGATGCAGTTGAATGATGTCCCTTCTGTCAAACTGTACCCCACTGTCCTTTTAAACGCCGGTCACATTCTGAAATTGACAGCATAACCCAATGTATTTTTCTATTTCCTTGATTAAACGGCCACTCAGCTATGTGAATTGGCACTGGTCGTTTAAAAAAAAGTCCAGTGAATTAGTCTTTATCACATTGAAAGATTCTCATGACTTTAATATATATATTGTTAATTGTATTCAAATTATAATTACAACATGGTCATTTAGCTTTGTGGGACAGTAACATCATACTCTATGTACCTACCTAACTTTAATTTGTGTGATAAAATGAAGGATTTTGTTTTAGCACGGTGAATAATATGAATAATAATATGAAGATATTTGTATAAAAATTTTTGGTTAGTTTTAGTATCAGTCCAATACACACTTTGACAGTGACTTAAGGTATGAACCACTGTATGAAAAGTTGTGTTTCGTATTACTTCACAACCTCTCTTGCTTCATCTAACACAGCTCTGGACCTGCTGAGCCGCATGTTGACCTTTAACCCCATCAAGCGCATAAGCGTCGAGGAGGCCCTGGCTCATCCTTACCTGGAGCAGTACTACGATCCCACAGATGAGGTACGCGCAGATGCAGCCATCATTTCAAGCAGATTGATGAATTATTGCTGCAGCAAAGCTGTAAAGAAATTACATATAAACGGTGGCTTTTGAATGCTCAGTCAGTCAATATTAAAACTGTACTCCACAGAGGAATTTGCATAAACAACAACACACCTCAAGCCAAGTATTGAGAATTGCACAAATGTTGGCGGCAGAAGGGCTTATTCATTAAAACCTGCAGTGCGCATGTTTGTCATTGTTTTTAACCATGGTCCAAGATTTAATTGTGAGCTCTTTCTGTTTCGTGCTGGGAAGCCTCTTAGCTGTGTTTGGAATGCAATTAGTATTAAGTTTGCTCCATGGTTCAGCCTGAGAGAGGTTAAAGAATGTAATCGCTAATTGCATCTCCATTTACGTCATCCTGGTACTGTAGGAATCAATATTCTTTTAATTGCACATTTTTACTCTTGTTTCAGAAATTGCACTGCACTGTTCAGGCTACATAAACCCTCCCCAGCTTTCCCACTTGGCAGCAATAGTCTTAAAGCCTAACCTTTTTTTTTTTGAACTGCTACCTCCAGATCATGAGCTGCAGCTGTTCCCTTTTTATGAGTTTAATAATTGTGTGCAGCATGTTGCAACAGTGTAATGGAAGCAAACAGTTGGCACGCAGAACTTCTCAGTTTCACCTGCAAGACCTAATATTTTGTTAGAGCAAAAATGGTAAGGAAGTGGATCTCCAGCTTTCGTTGAAGGTTTGAAGTGTGTGTGTGTGTGTGTGTGTGTGTGTGTGTGTGTGTGTGTGTGTGTGTGTGTGTGTGTGTGTGTGTGTGTGTAGCCAGTAGCAGAAGAGCCCTTCACTTTCTCCATGGAACTGGATGACCTTCCCAAGGAGAAGCTGAAGGAATTGATCTATGAGGAAACTGCTCGTTTCCAGGAAACCTACCAGGGCTCCTGAGACACACAGGTACATGAACAGGCCCGAACACACACAATATGCAACACCAATGTTTTTTGTGTGGACTCACCTACATATGATTATAAGTTCATGGCTCTTTCATCATTCCAGTTAGTATTTGTCAGTAGGTCATGAGAGGCCTGTGAATGCATTTCCATGTAGTTAAATGGACAACAAACAACTTGAGAATGACATTTTAATTCATATACTAAAGTAACGTTTGCAGGATCGTTTCAAGAACCTCAGCCTTAAATTTAGGGCTACTTAAATCTGACCGTAGTATAGGACTCGCTCTGAGGTTTTTACGGACACTTTTATGGCTGCGCTCCATTGACTCTAATGCAAAAGGAGTCGTTTTCTAGCTTTTCTTCGCTGTATTTTTCCAAGATATGATCATACGCTGTACCTGGGGCACTTGTAATAGTTACAGTTGCCATCCAGAGAGGTTGAAAGGAGAAGTACGATTTATTCTCTTTCCAAAACCTAAAATAAATCCAGAAAAATTTCAGCTGTGGGTTGTTCCTAATGTAATGTTAGTTAGCTAACGCTAGCTAACTTCCTACTGAGTGTAACGTAATAAAGCCCCACTCATCTGCTTTTTAATGATTGTGATAATGAATAGAGGCCTACCCAGCTTTACAGGAACGGTGTTGATCCTTAATATCGTTGTCTTTTGTCTCAATCGTCGTGGGATGTGGTGGTTCACTTGTATTGTGTGATTGGTAGGCTTTAGCTTCTATCTTTCATTTTTTTCACGTCCATTTGACAGCCTGAATACAACCTTCAAATCTATAATGCAACTGCAAAAGTGTCTGCTTCTTTGTGAGGTCGCTTTTTCCAACAAATTTGACAACATTTCTCCGGGGAGTGCAGTAATAGGCAGTGGCGACAATTTGTCAGACTTAGCAACAGTAACCAAGGGGGGTGGGGCTTAGCGAAGGGTCAGTTAGTCAAACTATTCATTTGGAAGTTAAAACAAAGTTGATGTTGGCTGTAGTGTTCTGTACTTCTTCAATGCAATGTGTGACTGTAATGGACACTTTTGTTCGCAGTTTTCTCAATTCTGCTATATGCGCATATCTCAGTAAATGGTGAGTTGGATGAGTCAGATCCCATCCTACAGGAAGTAATGGAAGCGAGGCCCACTTTGAATTAACGAATATTAAGTCGCACTTTCTCCTTTTCCTTTTTTCTTTAGCTTCAAAGAGTGACAAAGCCTCACAGAGGCTGGAACAAGAAGAACCCAAACGACATGCTAAAACAAAAGAAAAATGCATCTTCAAGAAACCAACAAAAAGAGAAAACATGAATATGAACATTTAACTGCTTATCTTTCCATTTCTACTGCAAGAGAGCTATGTTTAACTTTGTTTTCTGTGGTTGGGTGGGGTGGTAGGGTCTGGCATACTGTTTCAGTTTTATCCATGTTGGACTCTTCCCTCCTCTCACCTCACATTTGTTTTTCACGTTTAATGTCCCGTCTCGTCCTGATCAAACCCTTTTTTTTTCTCCTCTCATGCATCTGTTGCTAATCTGTGTGAGCTCTCCTGTCTCTCCTCTCTGTCGCTCCCTCTCATGTACTACTGTATTAACCAACACCATAACTCTCTTGTCTTGCTCCATGTAAATTACATCTGGGGAAAAAAATCGAGGGCTAAAAGAACGGGAATGCTAATCGGGTGATAAATATATAGCTTCGTTTTTTCTCTTTATTATTTTTTTTTAAGTGTGCTTGTCGCGGTTTTTGTTTGTACACTGTTGTTCAAGTGTTTTCAGATCAGTTCAGAGTCATATGTGTATGTTTTGGGGTTTATATTTGAAAGTCTTTTTTTCTGAACACTTGATTTTGAGACAAACATTAAGTGTTTTTCTGGCTTGTTGGCGGGTTTATAGATTTCTTCGTTGACGCTCTTTCTTTTTCTAAAAAAAAACAAAAAAAAACTGTGTATGATGTTCATATGAATGCATGCATTCCTGAAATTAACCAAAGTGGCAGAGAGATGCAAGAAACCTGGCTGGGGAGCAACTAAGGAATATCTGTCGTAGTTTTGAATTGTACCTTAAATGCATTTCTTGACCTGTAACTCGTACCAAGGGCAAACAAACTGAACTCTCCCTTCATTGGCGGAAAGTTGGGTTATAATCAGGAGGCGCTATATAACTGAATCAAAAGGCATAAAATATAGTTTATATAATTGCGTGTTCATTCAGTGATACCTAAGCCCCATTTTCCAGAAGATTCACGATACTCTGAAGAGTTGGAGGCTTAATGTAAGTTTTCTAGTGGAAGATGTTCTGCCAGAATACTGATGTGAGAGACTGGTGTAATGTTACTGTATCGTCATTTGGCTCCAAAACATCCCTTTTCAATGAAACACAACCAACACCAATATCTGATCCAGTGTCAGTTACATTCCTATATTAATTACATTCTCCTCTTGATTTAAAAAAAAAACCCCACAGAATTCTCCATTTCCAGAGCGACGTCTGGGAACGCATAAAATATTCTGGAAAGTGGGGCCTGGTTGACGTCAGCCTTTCCATCCCACCGTGCTGTTTTTTTTTGTACTGCGCTCTTATGTGCTACAGTTTGACGACTGTATGGAGTCAAACGTGTAAGCAGGCTGGGGCCTAACTGACAGCGACGGGCCATATCTAAACAGTGCAGTCTGAAGAAGAGCGAGTGCACATTCTAACAAGCATCTTCAGATTACTATTTTTTTTATTTTTTTATTTTTTTTTGGCTCATTGATGTGGGTGTTGATTGTAAATGGCCTGAATTTGAATTTGGCCTGAGTCCGTCACTGCAGCTTAGTGTTCACCAGCTGTAAACTTTACCAGAACAGCAAGAACAGCACCTCTTTTACAACTTCTGTTGATAAATGCAGCATTCACTTCATGTAGGATGGACGATGTAAAATTTTAGGCCTGCACGTGCACAATATAACACCATTTCCGTTCAATTTAGGTTGACTTACACTGAACGACAGCCTTTGGCTGATGTGAGGTGTTCATGTTTGGTTTTCAGGTACTTCCATGTTAGTAAATCAGATTATATGACGTGAATGCAGCAAAATCAACATTATAGTCAAACCCAGGATTGGTAGAGTGCTGTTTGCACCCCTCTGCCCGTTTACTTTTTGAACCCTTCATCCCTTTCTGTGTATTGTCCCCGCTACCTGTTAACATGCTGGATGTTTTTTCTTCAATGTTGGTGATTTAGTGCTGCAGTGGCGCTCGTTCTCCATTTCGCAAGAGTTTCTCCTTGGAGTGTGTGCATGTGTATAATTTCCATGTTCATTGCTCCTGTCATTTGTCAGTGTTTGCTCCCTCCTCCTCCTTTATTGTGGATGTGACTGTACTAATTGCTGCATGGTGTGGAGCACCACCCCACGGGTCCAGCTCAGTCACCAGCTGAGTCTGCACTAATTTTTGCCTGTTGCACTGGGACCAGTAGAGAAGCCCCCACCCTTACCCCTGCAAAATGGACCAACACATGGCGCGCTCTCTCACTTTCTCTCTCTCTCTCTCTTACACACACACACAGGGCAGGCCTGTGATGCTAATAGACCCAGATCTGGAGCGCTCACTGGCCTTGCCCTCTCGTCAGCAAAATCATTGATTGTTTCTTTGCGTCTCGGGCTCGAGTCGCGTCATAGGCTGTTTTCTCAGAAGCCATAGCCAGCACTCTAGGATCAGTGTGAGGCTTTTTGGTGCATGTGGTGATAGTCATCATGTTGTTCAACCTCCCAACTCTCACCACGCTTTACTCAAAAGGGCTGCCTCCCCTCCTCCCCCCTGTCTGCTTCTCCACACTGGGATCGGTGAAGGCCTTCTAACCCATATCAGTGACTTTGCTGCCACTTTCCTCCTCAGAAAATCATCGCCCCTGTCTGACATGGAACATAGATCATGGATGGTCACACAAGCAGGAAACTCGCCCCAATCATATAACTCAATCCGCACGCCTGCACTTTCTTTCCAACCACGCTCTTTGTCCCCATTGAGGTTGTTATTTTGGTTGGTCTCTCCCTCCCTGTCTTGTATCCTCCTCGTTCAGCTTTAAGTTCCATCTGCTGTGTGTGGTAAGGCTCATGGATCGTCTGCAGTAATTTATGTCAGTGTACAAGTGTTAGTGTATCTGCTTATCAGTAACATAAAGCCAAGACTCTTTTTGTCCTGTGTGTGTGTGTGTGTTTGGGAAGTGTTTCCTCACAGCTTGGGCCCTCTCCCTGCAGTCACCTGTGCTTTTACATCTGTGAGATGTTTTCTTTTTTCCTTTTTGACCAACAAAAAAAAAAGATTTTGTACGTATTTGATATGTATATTTGGTCAGCAGTCGGCCCGGCCCGGCTTGCCTGTCTTTTCTCCGACCTGCCCCCAGACCAAACATCTCACTGGGTAACCATGGGAATGAACCAAGAGGACCATGTTTTGCAATCCTCCTGACACACTCGCACACACACTTCCTCTCTCTTTCTGAGGAGTGTATCTGTGTGTTTGTGAAAAGTTGCACTTAAACACACCATACACATTCATTCACACAGTATTGGCGAGTCTAAAGGCCTGTCAAGAGGCCTGTTTTCAGATATTGTTGTTTTTTAAATGGCTGTTCTTATTATTGCTATTGTTATATTGGTGAGTTGTTGTATTTTCTTTCTTTCTTTTTTCTTTTTTTTTTTTTTACGTAAAAGGGAGTTAAAGTTGTATCATTTTTTAATTATTAGGATGTTTTTTATTTTTTTTTCTTCCTTATTTCTCTTTATGGGCGTGATTATTGGCAGTGTTTTCAATCTTTCTGAAACTTTTTTTTTTCTTTTGATTTCCCCTGCAAGATCTTATAAGGAATTCTTTTAAAAGAAGATATAAGTAGATTGTCAAAGAGATATGAGTTATTGAGGGTTATAGTCTGTATATTCTATGGGTATTATGAATTAAACGATTAACAAAATACAGAATTATATACATATAATTAAATAAAATTTCCTGATACTGTTACTACTGTCTGTGGAAGTGTTGTTTCCCTCTTGTGGTCTTGTTTTTTTTCTTCTACGGTACTTTCAATTCTGGTAATTATTTCCAACTGAGAATGACGAAAGCAGCGATATCAAACGACTACAAAGAGACCAACGGCAACTAATAAAGAAATGCACAGTGACAACAAAGAGATTCAGAACCTGCAAGTTGACCACAAGAAGATGGAAAACAACATCTTGGTCCAGGGAAGGAGGATTGGGGGTCCTTTTATATGTCTGTGTCCTAAACTGGCTTTAGGACATTTGGAGTTACAAATGGCACCTATTTGATATCATTTCATGTCAGAATATTTAAAGTTGTTGGCATTAATGTATTACACTGAACAGTTTATTGCCACGGCAAACGACTGACAATGTTCTCACTGCCGCTGGTACCATTGTGCGACAGGTTTCCCCGATTGATACCATGGAAACAGGTTCTTAGTCCTTCTGAGCCAGGCAGGTGGTGTGCTGGCTAACTTCTAATGCTTAAGATAAGTATTTATTTATGTAAAACTAGTTTGCCAGACTAATCTCAGACTGGCCTAACACTAGATCTGAAATATCCCCGGGAAGTAAACTTTAAGCCTGAGACTCAGCAACACACTGCCGTACAGCTTTCCCCTCTTCCTTCCCAACATGCCTGAGCATGGCTTCCCCCTCCTTCCCTGACATTCCAAGCGTGTTTGGCCATGACTGCTTATAAGTTAAAAAAAAAATCTATTTGATATCAGGCATGACAGCAGTCTGTCAAATTTACCATGATTTGCACATATTTGCATGTCAAATGGAGACACCTGCAAAAGTGGGAAATTGCTGGAAAGTCACATTGCATTGCCGTGAATAGATGTCTCTATTCTGGTGAAAACCAGACTTGTAACATTTCAGAGCGGGCTCGGCCTGACACACCATTGTTTGTCACACTGCAGCTTTGCTATTGAATGTGAACAATACAGTAATGCACTGACGACAGTGGACTGTATGTAGAGCGAGCATGCATGCCTCTAGACACGTGGTTGTTTTCATATTTCTGGCACTGTTGGTCAGAGTTTACTTTACATACCTCCATATACCACATCCCTTTTGTCAAATACACAGTTGAAACCCGCTGCACTCCCACTTTCTTTCCCAATCATCAACCCAGCCATCAGCTGCAAACTATGTCCTGAGTTTAAATGGGACAAAAGATGCCAGCAACTGCTTCTTTTCCTCATTTTGTCCCACCCGTGAGTTATGTTTGTTTATCTAGTGTCACATATGTTCTCCATCATAATCCAAATCACTGATGGCCAACCCCATACTCCAAACAATGAAGCAGAATCAAATAAATCCTAGGTAAGTGTTGGCAAACATGCAGTGACCAGGTATGACACTCACACACAAAGCCACTAGTATCCCAGCTGAACAAAGCAGCTTAAAGAGAGTGATATAGTATTTGGCACAGGCAGGGGAGAGGCCAGTGAGAGAGCGGCGAGGTGAGCGCTGGGTTATGAGCTGGTACTTCATTAACTGATTTTTACAGCACTGAAGGTTCAGGTGTGTTTGCTAGGAGTTGGCAATAAGGAGACTTTCTTCGGTCTTACCAGTCTTTCCAGTTTTTTCATGTCTTCTCAGGAAGGTAGAGAGCAGGTTGTCTTCAGTCATGCGTGGTCCTGTTCACTTTTACTTTGAAACACAAAGGAGGGTTGTTGTTGGACTTTATTAAGAGCTTGATTAACTTTTGCTGAAGTTTTGTTTGCTGGTGGTCCTGTCCAACATTAGCGGTGCGATCTTGCAGCAACTCATTTAGGAGCTCACTGGAACGTATTTGTAGAGAAGGATGAGCAGTTTTCTGTACTTCATCCTCCCAGCTCTGGGTGGATACACTCTCGCCTCGGTGTACCTGCTGAAGAACCCCCAGATTCTCCACAGGAGGAAACGCACAGCCTTTTACTGCAAACACATCTCGCACAGAGGAGGTAAGGTTGGTCACAGGCACTCTGAAGCCTGAAGGGTGCAGCTGGTCGTCTGTCAGGAGGAGGGGTCCATCACGTCCAGATCATAACATGTGCATGTCTAAACAGCCGTATTTTTCCTCAGTATCGTTGTTAACCTGCAGCAAAGAGCTCAAATGGAGACTGGTCAACAAATACGACAAGGAGCATGTGTAAAAAAGAATGATAAAAGATGTGATTGTGAACCTCATCATGTGCTAAAATGAGTTTCAGTGGCTCAGTTTTTAAAGTTTTTAATAATATGATGACTTTTTTTCCACCTAAAGTTGAACACTGATGAACTTACGATATGATTTCAGAGGTTTTACTCTTCTCTGTTCAATTCAGTTCAACTCACTGTGACAGTAATTTATATTGCCACAGCAAGTGTGAAATAGAAACATGTGCATAAACAAATGTATACAAATGTGTATGGTATCCCTGACTGACCGGTGCTTCTCTCCCTGCTGCCATCATCAACCCTTAACTCCTCTGTTTGTTACCAGGATCTGGAGAGAGGATAGAAAGCACGATGGAGGCGTTCACAAAGTGAGTACCAAACTCAAGAGGTGAGCTGCTGCTCTCCGAACAGCTGTGAGAGAAACAGATTGCTTTCAATTAAGAACTTTTCAGAGAGGCTCTGACCAACTGAGCACCATCCAGTTTACTCTGATTCTGTCTTTTCTTTCAAACAAAGGCAAAAACTGAGGCATTATCCAGCCTCATAAAATGCATTTTTAGTGTCTTTCCACTTGCAAGCCTCAAGTAATAAATAGTCTCTGCGAGATCTTAGGCTTAACAATGGACATCTAAAATACATGAATGGAAGTCTGCATACATATCTGCATATATATATATAAAGTCGCAGGAAAAAGTATGTGAACCCTTTGGAATTACCTGGATTTCTGCAGAAATTGGTCACAACATGTGATCTGATCTTCTTCATCTTCAAGTCAAAACAATAGACAAACACAGTCATGTTTTACACACTGTGTAAACATTCACAGTGCAGGATGGAAAAAGCATGTGAGCCCCAAGGCTAATGAGTTCTCCAAAAGCTAATTGGAGTCAGGAGTCAGCCTGCCTGGAGTCTAATCATTGAGACGAGATTGGAGGTGTTTGTTAGAGCTGCCCTACCCTATCAGGAGATTAGTTCATCAGCCGGAAGAGCAGAAATGAGTTCTCTCACTGTGCCTGTAACAAATACAAATTAAATCCTTCCTCCTCCTTTCTCTAGTGCAGTGGAGCAGGGTACACAGATGCTGGAGCTGGACTGTCACTTGACGCAAGACGGACATGTGGTGGTATCACATGATGAGAATCTGCTGAGGCAGACTGGCCACGACGTCACCATCTCCTCACTCAAGCTGCAGGTGAGAGGGCAGATCCTGCAGGACTGTTGACACAAGCTCATGCTGAGACAGTAGCTCTGCCCTCGGCCAAACAGGGTGTTCAGGTGGTGGTTTTCTGGGTTGTTCTTTTAGCCATCATGTTCATCATGTTTTAGTCATCAAAACAAGAGGTTGAGATTCTAATTACAATTACATTTCAAATAAACACTCCCCTATATTTCAGGTTAATCATCTGCACCACTTTAACTGCAAGGTGCAAAATAGCATGCAAAGCTAAATATTCATTTTAAACTTACTGAGTGTGTTCAGTGTGTGTTCCAATGCAGTTCACTTATGCTGCTGTGAGCTATAGGCCCCTGAATTAGTCTGATGTGGTAAACACAGTTCCATCATGATTTAAACATACAAAAATTTGCTATAGACGGCCAATAACTTATGTCAACAACAATAACAAGCACAGAAGGTTGTGAATGCTGACGAGAGACACGTTTAAATTATTCACAGTAATCTGCATTAAGGTTGTGCTATTTATATACATTATTATAACTAAGAATATCCCAAGATGGATGTCCATTTTTTAAATCAAATGTCATAATAATGTAACTTTTTATGTCTTCATCCTTTTAGGATTTGCCTCTGTATAAGGAGAGACTGGAGGTGACATTTTATGCAGGTGAGTTCCTCCTCTCATTCTCTGACTCTCAATCATTAACAAAAAGCCATTTAATGAAGAAGTAGGTCAGCAGGAGTGTGTGTGCGTTCATGAGTGTGAGTTACCGCCATTTCCACCACCACCCCTTCCTGCAGGCCGCTACAGCAGCGGTGCAGACAGGAAGTTCGCTCTGCTGGAGGACGTGTTCAGGAAGTTCCCTGAGATGCCTGTCAGCGTTGAGATCAAAGAGAACAACAAGCAGCTGATAGAAAAGGTACAGTACACCAAAAACAACTGTATATATTCATTAATCTCTCTGAAACCTCCACCAACTATTAAGCTGTAATAAAATTACATTTTACAGAGATGCTTTGTAGCATTGCAAAAAAAAAAAAATTGATAAGAACTCAGTAAGCAAATAAAGCTGTATTACTCAAAATGATCACATAAAAAAAGGAACACGGCCAACTGGGAAACATTGTGATTCTTTGGCCTTCTCTGGCTTTAAACATCTGGATGATGGTGTGAGGGTGAACAACTAACCAATTAGACCACACTGCAGTTTGTCATTGCTCAGGGCCTCAGGACTTTTCGTGATTCTTTGCAACTATCCAGTTATATGTCAAGATTATCCCTGATGATGGGATTTTATTTACAGTCCCTGTTTGTCTTTGCCATATATTTTAATGAGCAATCTGCCTGCAGTTTGGTCATGGTGTTCAAATCTTCCACATGGAAAAGTAGTCTCTTTTGAAGTAAATTTTTACATTCAAAGTGAAGGTGTTTCCAATATTTTGTCCACCTCAGGTATAACGATAGAAATACTGTGATCTTTGTGTTTGTAACAGTACTGGTATTTACTTTTTAACACTACTTTACTTTTTAACACTTGTGTGTGTCTGTCTTGTTTTCACATTTACTGTACAAATTTCATCTGTGAAATGCCTCCCTTATCCGTGTATAGGTGTCTGAATTGGTTAGACGCTACAACAGGGATGAGATCACTGTCTGGGCCTCTGTGAGCTCCAGTATCATGAAGGAATGCTGCAAAATGGTAAATAAGTAAACCACCTGGGGGAGACAGAGTTACAGCATTTTACTATCAATTCACATATCATTTTTGACCCTTTTAATATTTTGATTGATCTAAACAGGTGAAATTAAACTGTCTCTGTATCAGCGTTCTCTCTCTGCTTCCTTGTAGAATGCCTCCATGCCGTACAGTTTCAGTGTGAACCGAGGTGCGCTGCTTCTGCTTCTCTTCTACAGCGGCCTGCTGCCCTTTGTGCCGCTGGGAGAGAGTTTACTGCAGTTCTACCTGTTGCGCCTCATTAACAGGTGTGGATGTTGAGTCCGTGTGTGTGTGTATATGCTTGTGTAACTATATAGCAAGAAATCCCCAAAGGTGTTCAGGAAGAGGAGGACAATGTTCTTCATCTGTGCCCAGACTATACTTCTGTAGTCTTTTTACATGCATCTGGTTTCATAGATGTGTCTGTTGTTTCTCTCCCTGTCTCTGTGTGCTGAAGGATGTACATTCCTGAGGAGGGCATCCTGAGGAACAGGCTGGTCATGTCTTTGTTAGAAAAGTGAGTAACGGTTCCAAGAGGACCACTGCAGCCTTACTGACTTTGACAATGCCAAACATGTCAGAGAAAAATTTTTTAAGCATAACTGAGAACATTACATCCAGAGTACATGGAGTGATGCTTTTTTTACATACAAATAAGCAAATATATATAGCAGCAAGATGAAATTGTGGATTTATTTTACTTCTGTTTGTATAAAAACTCAATTATTCATACATGCATTTATGCTGTAATTCCAGAGTAACAATGAGGAAGAGCCTTTTTAAACACCTCGCAGCGCGTGGAATTCAGGTATGGAAACATTAGCATTAGAATTGATTAAATTGAGGTGCATTACATGAATGCACAGAAAACAAAAACAGTAAAATATGAAAGGTTTAGATTAAAATAGGAAACACAATTAGTAGGAAAATAATTAAAATTCTGATTTGTACAGCTCAGCGCTAAACCAGATACTCATCCAGTGTTAAATCAACTGTTGGTATGCATTATGCTGCTGGTGGTGGGGGGGTTATGTGATATCCCCGTGCTCATGGATACACAGCTGTGTGAATGGGGCTTATTAAACAATACAGAGACCTGCTCATCAAACAAAGGAAAGCAGATTTGTTTGTTTTTTTGTTACTGCCTGTGAGTGCATGATCAATGCACATCAGTATTTCAGCTAAAACATTCATGCTCACACAGCCCATATGAGCATCTTAAATGCATCACCTCTGTCCTGATGTGAGTAATCTCTGCTGGGATGAGATCACCCCCGTCGTCAGCCCATGAGTGGTCAGTGAATAGTTTGAGCATGAAAACAATTTAAGTCATATGCCGTAGCCTTGTCAGCTGCTGAGGGCCTCGTCACATTTGAACACTTATGAGTAATTGTGCAGTGGTGACTAAGAAAAGCTCGCCCCCTCATCGTCCGCATAAAAACAGGGATGAGATTTCCTCCATTTCAGGAAAAAGTGGGCTTGTGTCAATATTAGAAGTGGGAATCACAGGGTAACTCGTGTTGGTCGAATCAGGAATAAGCAATATATTGCAAGACAGTCATCATGATATAGGCCTATGTGAAATGAAGACAGATTAGTGTAAAAAATAAAAGGGACTCCATCATATTAATAGGCATTTTGTAAAATAATACTGCATATGTTAGTACAAGTGCAGTATACTGTGCATCTCAACAATGTAACACTGGGGAATATCATAGTGCTGCTGCCATGGCATTGAAAAAATACATCATTGCTGCATATCATATCACACATTGTGCCATATCAATTATTTGTCCACATTGTAGTCTGAACAAGCGCTCCTTATGCTCCTTGGTCTTACTTTATGCTGATGTCCGCTCTAGCTGTCTGGCTGTCACATCTGAGATAGCTGCCACCCTTCACATTTAGGACAACAGGGTTTAAGTTTTATTGATGTTCTAGTCACGCACTGCGGCTGAAGACTGCATGTAGGAGGACAACTTTCACCCTCGTTTTTATTGACATCAGCTTTGCATTAGTAAAAATAAGGATTCTGGTTCCTTGAAATGTTTTTTTAATCTTCTAATCTTATTAAAACCCAATATGTAGAAAACGATTTAAATGATAACGCTTGGGTGAAAAAAATTACAAAAATTTAAAATATTGTTATTTCACCAAATAAGAAAATATCCCATGCTTTATACATTTGTTATTCTACATGGTGACATTAATTGGGGTCTACTAGACCTTGTATTTAACCATGTTTACTGCTCTGAGACCTTCTGAAACATGTCATCAGTTAAAAATGTTTAAAAGCTATTCTGTTAAAATTCAAGGGTATGAAGGTATGTTAAAGAGAAACCCCAACCAGATCATTGCAGTTGACTCATATCTGTCATTGCAGGTGCATTTGTTTGTGTGCAACACAGATGAAGACATAAAGGCTGCGTTTGAAGTGGGGGCCACGGGGGTGATGAGTGACTATCCTGCTCTTCTGTCAAGCTACCTCAGCAGAAACAGAAGTCAGGATTGACCCTGAACACATCCACAAATGAGAACCATTGGTCACTCTGAAATGGTGGCTTACTGATGAATGAGGGTTGTGTATAAAAATAGAAGTTTGAGTCCCATTTAATTTCTCTGATTGTGACAAGAATAGTCAAACAGTTGCTGGTGTTATTATTAAACACCATGTAGTGGGAACAAACCTTCAATCATTCAACGATTTAATCTCAATCCTTAATCACTGTTGATAGAATGACAACATGTGTTGTTATCTATGTCCTCCACCCACAGTCTGTCAGACACAGCCCAGTGTTTAAGGAAACAGTCAGTTGCCTTAAGTTAACAAAATATAACACAAACAATGACTGATGGCTGATATAATAATGACATATATATATATATATTTTTTTTTTTTTTTTTTTTTTTTTTTTTATTAGAAAAAAAGGGCTAAAAGTACAGTAATGATAAAGATCATGGGGTTACGAATGCAGGAAGATAATAAATGTTTACCAGATGGAATCGATGAATCAATTCAAATGTTTTTATGTAATGCCGAAGGACAGGTTTTCCATTGAAATACAATTCCTTGATATCAGTGCGATGGGGCACCACAGGAGAGTAGATAGTGAGTTAATGATTTCTTTCCAAATGTGTGTTACGGGTGTGCAGTGCCAGGTAGAGTGGAAGTTGTAGTTTTTTGCGTATAGTGTGAGCAAATTTCAGATTGTACCAATCTCATTTGAAACAACATGTGCCCAGTGAGGCAGACTCTGTGGATTATCTTGCATTGTACAGGCAGCGTATTGGTGTTTTTAAAAGATGTTCCTACAGATCAGGTTCCAGACTTCAGTATTGGGAGTGATGGATAAGTCATCAATTTCATTGATGGTAAGGATATTGTTTTCTCATTGGGATATAATTCTATATATACTGGATAGAATTTTGTTTGAAGAAGTATTTAGGCCTTTATGTTTAATTTAATTTGAATAGAAAATTTGAGTTGTAGATATTCAAGGAAGTGATTACTCCCATTGCTGAACTGTTGGACCAGGTGGGAGAATGAGACCATTGTTTCCCAATAATATTTGGTGATGAATCTAATGATTTAAACCACGTGACAGTGGGATGAGTTGGATTAATTGAGAATAGATAATTTTAGGGAGTACTGTAATTTTAACGGTAGCTGTACTGCCCATAACTAATATTGGCATTAGAGATTATCATTTATTGTTTTGGGTTGAGACTACAGCTCTGACAGCCGGTGGGAAATGTGAGTTGTTAGATATATGATGGATCCGGTACATAGTGGGATAGGTGTTGATTGGCTGCTGGATCCCAGCTGTTGATCCGTAGTGGGAGGATAGTGGATTTGGTCCAGTCTATAGAGTAACTGGACATTTTGGAGAATCATTCAATGAGCCCTACGGTTTCTTGGGGTTTGGGTATATAGCAATATGTCTTCTGCATAGAGAGAGATGTGTGCTGGAAGATTAAATGCGTTTGATGTTGATGTTTTGGCGAATGGCCGCAACTGAAGGCTCAATGAAGATGGTGAACAGAGAGGAAGAGCGGTCATCCTTGCCTAGTCCCCCAGAGTGAAATTTAGTGACGTTTGCCCATTAATGATAACAGTGGCCAAAGGTGAGGTGTACAGCATCTTAAGCTTTTTCTGCCTTATGGGAGACTATAATGGTTTGTGTGCTGCAGAGATGAATAATGTATTAAACTGGTTTCTGTTATTACTTGAGGAGTGTTTACCTTTAAAAAAACTGATGGATTTGGATGTTTTATGGAAGAAATCACCTTTCCTCTTCTGCGAGAGCCTGACTTAGACTTGTCTGTCTGTGAAATGGGACGGTAGCCGGCTGGTAGGGTGAGGTCTTTGTTGGGTTTTTAAAAGAAGTGAGATTGTGTCTATATTCATGTTTGCTGATAGCCCAGAGTTTTGTTTTATTTCAGCTGTCAGTTTGTGAAAAAGTGGTGCTAGGATGGTCCAGTGTTTGCAGCTGGAGTAAATATTTAACCAGCTGGATCATGTCACCTGACATCCCATTTATCATGATAAGAGAGTAACGTGACTTTGTTTTGGCTGTATCTGACATTATTTGATTGGTTGGAGCAAGTGCTGGAAACAAACTTGAAAATTTAAGGAAAATAACATTTATTTATACTATAAATATATCCATATAGGTGAGTACAGTGTTATTAATGTTGTTTTCAGACTGTGTTTTGGACCTTTGTTTAATGCAATCACTCATACATTTACATGTGCAGTAAACCTCACCTGTCTCCTAGTTTTCCCAGGCCACGATCAAAGTCCATTGTGATAATGATCAACCAGGCTGTTGGTGAAACAAAGGCTGTATTTTTCTGACCTGCTTGGCTGTGCCTCGTCGAGTGACGAGTTAATGTAATACTAAGTGGATCAGTGCAGAGTGAGGTTTTTAATACAGTAGTTGCAAAAAGCAAAGGTATGATGTGACAAAGCAGGGAAATTAGGCTCTTGTGGTCATACAACCAAGGCCTTAGCTACCATTGAAGACAGAGAGAGAATGTCATCAGTAATATTTTTGGGAATCTAGAGGGTTTATCAACATTAAGTGGGGTTTAGGTTCACACATACACATGTTGGGACTAAATACCTTACACATTGTGTATTTAGGCCAAAAAAAAAATATCTTACAGTAATTGATTAATCATTTCAATAAGACAAAACTGCTTTCAGTTTCTGAAATGTGAAATTGCTGTTTGTCTTAATGGTATGTTATTGTAAACTGAACTGGGTTGTGGGTAGTGGGAAAGACAAAACAAGACATCATGAAGACGTCACCTTGTGCTCTGGGAACTTGTGATGGAGATTTTTGACTATTTTGTGACATTTTATAGACTAAATGATTAATCGAGGCAATTATCAACAGATTAATCAATAGTAAGAATAATCATTAGTTACAACCCTGCTTTTCAAACATTTAGACTATCGGGAGATAACATTTACAGACAATACAATTGAACAGTTAAATAAATAAAAATGTGAACTGTTGTGTTGTTTTTTTAAATAATGAGGATCTTTTGCTGAGTTTGTTTAAGGGTTAGTAACATGTCTGTGCTGGGGACCTCCTACGAGCCTGCTTACAACATACACACTGAAGATGAAAGAAGCAAAACACACAGCAGCCTCAAGTCAGTAGTGCAAATAAATCAAGAAACCACAACTACCAAACCACCACCTCCCCATCCTTCCTGCGTAAGGATGTTAAAAGATTTCGTAAATCTTGTCACATAACCTCACGTACTTGTTCCTTACAGTGTGATTACTTTGTCTGAAGGACTTTCATCCCACATTCACAAGCAGGATATGATAACCCACTCACTAACAGCATTTATGAAAACAGTATCAACAATCAGACTGATAGCCATAAAGGGCTCCATGTGAAGTCGCAGCTGATTGGTTGACCCACATTCTAGACGTCACCCGCCGGCTCCCATTGGTCGACGGGGATTTGTTTTGCACTCTTCAGACTTCCTCCTCTGCGTGTTTTCATAAACAAACCACATTTTTCTCTCGCCGGGGCCACCGCGCAGTCACCTGTCAGCTTGCCAGCATTGTCCGGTTCCAGCCCCCGTTTTTAACGAAGGTCTTGGAGCAACTTTGAAAGCTGGTCCAGATTCAAAAAAGGGACGCGGGGAAACGCTGCAACAACCAGAGGCTCTCCGTGTTTGTCTTTGTTGTCCGAGCCGTCAGCGCGTGGTCGACTGTTGGACCGAGCCGACCTGCCGAGCACAAACCTTGCTCCAATCGGATGCTTTCCAGCTATCAGTCCCATTGTGCCGCTGTCTAGACTGTGCCGAGCTTCGGTATTAACAGGTGAGTCGACAGACACGGGGGGGGGGATATCCTGCAATGCGCATCTGAGCTGCCGCCGCTGCTGCTAGCTGCTGTTTGTTGTGACAGGGAAGCTAGCTAACACGTAAGCTAGGTCCGAGCTGGTGGCCAGTGTGTCTTGTAGCTGTTATCAGGCCGCCTGCTGGCCGCCTGTGTGGGATTATCTAGACGGTCACCAGTGTGTTGCACGGTGCATACATGGCGCAGCACACGTTGCAAGGGCTTGAATTTGGGTTATGTGATTGCATCTAGTTAATTAAGCGAGGACTGTTTGTGCAAAGTGTTACGCACCAGGAAGCAAGTTGCCTGATAAACTGTGTTATCTGCCAGCATTAGTATTAAACTAATGTGACAATAAAAAGATGCATGATTACAGCACATTGTTTACCAGAGCTGCATTTCAGTTATCTTCAATATAGACTAATCTAGGCGATACTGTGAAAGCCCATTTCTGCCAGGAAAATAAAAATCTGATGATCATGGTAAATCATAATGGCTGACCATAACTTTTTTTTTCCTTGGTGGAAATGGGTTTTGTAGTTTTTAATCAATCAACTTTGACATTAAAATGTCCACCTCTGTAGTTATGAGCCCAGAGTTTTGTCATTGGATGTCTTACCTTCTCTTAATTAATGAAATTTAATTAATTAATTAAATTAAAATAATGTTAATATTGTCTGCACACCCTCCCTCCTTCACCCCAAACTACTTAGCACTTAGGACTGTTTAGCATCTTAGCCTAGCTATCATTGTTGTCTACCAGCAATTATGAGTGAAACTTCAAATGTAAACCAAACTATGGTTCCAGCGTCACAGTTTTTAACATTTGGGTCATGTTGGGGGAAAGCTTTGCACTGTTATTATCAGATATGTTAAAAGCTGATGGGAAAACCTGCCTATGTCTAATCTCCTCAACGTCCTCCCTAATAAAGGAAAATGTAATCCAAATGAAAATCCAGAATTCATATTGTATAGTTATATCTTGCATTTTTCTATTCTTTTTTTATTTAGTGCGTATTTTCTTATGTGTTGTGTTGTGCTGCATCTGGAGCTGCTGTAACAAGTGAATTTAACCTAGGGTGGGATAAGTAAAATATATCTTACCTTGCTACTCAGACATGGTGAAGCTGACAAAGGCCAAGACATTCCAGGCATACCTGGACTCCTGCCACCGTCGCTACAGCTGTGTGCACTGCCGCGCCCATCTGGCCAACCATGACGATCTTATCTCCAAGGTTAGTAGGCCAACACTCTTTGTTGGTAATAATCATATCAGGTGACACCACTTCATGGCTCTCACTAAGTTTAGAAAGTAGCTAAACTGGAAAATCTGGACTGATGGGAAACAAATAAGAGATCTCCCAACATAGGACGACGTTTTGGAAATAAAGCCAGAAGAATTACAATTAATATCATGTTGTGTTTGATGCTTATTTCAAGTGGACATATGGAGCATTTTTGTCTGTGATTTCATTTTTCCTCTGTTTCTAGTCTTTCCAAGGCAGCCAGGGCCGAGCCTACCTCTTCAACTCTGTGTGAGTATTTTATTTAGAAACATTTCTACATGTTGGCACATTAAATGTAAAAGTGACTTATCTTAGGTTTCCAATCTTATTTTTATCTCCCTGACCACTGTATAGACAGGTAAAACGTGACTTCAGTAAGTGTTACAAGTGAATTATGTTCATCACAGTGTTAAAAACCACTTGCCTTAAATGTTCCTTTGTGTTTACCCTACTTTGTTATCACATCTTTTCTTAGAAACATAAAGGCGTTGGTAAATCTATGATCTTATTTGTTTTCTCAGTGTATCATTTCTGGAATAGTCTAGTTCTCTCTGAAAACACATTCCCAGTATCAGACATGTTTGCACAAACCACATTGTCAACAGATAATTTGATTTGCTTAAGTGTTGACCTTGAAGTTGGGTGAGTTCACTTCACTCCTGCTTCTCCTTGATTAGTGCGATAGAAATACACAGACTCTAAGATGTGAGCCCATTGAATGTGTTTGGCACTTATTCTAACTTCATCAGCGTCTATTCAATTTAAAACTTGATCTGTTGTTCAAGTGAAGCTCCGTTCTAACTGGTTTCATGGAAAGGCATCATCTGAACTTAAATTTTTTTTTAATATGACGAAACAGGAAAGTCGTTCCTTTACTGTTGAGGGTCACAGTCGTCTTTTAGTGCATGGTAAGGAGAGTAGTTACATTACTATGCAGCCGTCTGTGGGTCAGAGAGGAGCTGCTGTTTGACAACACTGCGTTTGGTTTCAGGGTGAACGTCGGCTGTGGTCCTGCGGAGGAGAGGCTGCTGCTTACAGGACTTCACGCAGTTGCCGACATCTACTGTGAAAACTGTCACACCACTTTGGGCTGGAAATATGTAAGTACGACCCCCTGCGAATAAAATGCTGGCCTGTTTTCACCATTAAACTGGTTTTGATGATGAAAGAGGTTAATGGGGTTCACACTACAGATAGCTCTGGTGTAGGTTTTAAATTACAGTTGAGCGTCAGTAACATTAGCAGGATATATTGCAGGTAATCCAACCTTGTCCTGCTTTACGTGTATTACCCCCGGTGTTCTACATTGTATCATTTAATTTGTGATATACGATGATGGTAAGCTGTGCTTATACTTATAAAACTGAGTTACATCCAGGTGGTTTCTCTTTTACCTTGTTTCATGACTGAATAGGAGATCACTGCCGTGCAGGTGCCGTGTTCACTTTCATTCACTCACTGGGATTTAGAACAGCAACTGCTCTGACTGAGTGGTTTGCAGTGGAGATGTCTTTGCTAGATGTGTGTTACTGAAAAGCAGAAGCTTACTGAGTCTTTCTTCATCTTCCTTAATGTTTTCATCACCATCAACAATCTCCCATCGGCGTCAGAAAATGAACAGTCACAGTTCTTGCGGTCCCCCCATGGTATCTTTGTAGCTGCTGTAACCCAGATATATATTTTAGACTTTTGAGAAGGCGCAGGTCAGCTAGACTCTAACTACACAGCACCCCTTAACGCACAAGTATAAATACAGCTTCACACATTTTATGATGGTTTTTGCAGATTACACAATATAAAAAAAAATAAAAATCCAATGAGAAAATAGGGTAAACATGAACAATAGTTACAGATGTTAGTGATGTGAAACACACATTTCCACAGATTAATTAAAAAATACACTTATTCATTTGGCAGATGCTACAAATACAAGAGATAATTTAGCTAACAAATCATATCAAGTTTAAACACTACCTTGACATTTCAAATGAAATAGTTGAATATATGGCACATTTGGAGTGTTTGTATATCCTTTTTATGAAACTAGTACTGAGTAGTACATAAACATGGTATCAGTCTGACTTAATTTATACTTTAATATTGTTTCTAATAACCCTTCTGCAGGAACAAGCCTTTGAGCTGAGTCAGAAGTACAAGGAGGGGAAGTTTATCATCGAGCTGTCCCACATGATAAAGGACAACGGCTGGGACTGAGAGGGAAACCTTCGTCTTTCTTCATGACTTTTTCAAAAGTTGCATCCCCTTCAACATAAAAGGGTCCCAGTGTAGCTTCCTCATCCCGCGTACGAGCCATCGCTGTGCCACACTTTCACTTCGAACAGCTTTGCCAAGTATAGCATGTGATGCCTTATCTTCTGTTCTTCATGTTTTTCCAGCGACCACAACAACACATTTGCTGATATATCTATCCCATTTGCTAGTTGTCCTGGGACATGGACTGAATGAGTGTAGGGTTTGTGTGAAAGACTGGGAGATGTAGTCACACAGGCATGTGTGCATGTTGGATTTTAAAAGCGTGTGTTTGAGTGATGAAACCCTTTTCCGCAACCAGTGAACAGTCACGCTCTGTGGGTGGTGAGGCCAGCGCAAGTCAAATAATCTGACCTTCTAACACATCGGATGCAGGTATTTGGGTTTACCTTTTGAGTTTAAGGTGCACATTTACACATATCTGGCCCAACAGAGTAAAGTATTTAGGCCTGATTAACCCACAGATCATTTTTGAGTGAGGGTATGAGAGTGCTTGGAACAGTGCGAGGGCTTGTTTTTTTATCGATCATGTTTTTTATGTTAAGATCATTAACACTTGTTTATATTTTGCCAGGATGATTAATTAGTAATGTTA